GCCTCTCCCGGGCAGGGGGATGAAGGCTCCCCTTGCCTGGGAGAGGCTGTGCACGGCTATCCCATAAGCCAGGACAGCAAGTGGGATTGCTGCGCAGTGATCCCGCTTGCTGTCCTGGCTTCTGGGATTCAGAATATTTTTTTTCTTGTTTTCCTCTTCCAAAGCTAGGTGCGTCTTATAGAAAAATACAGTACTCCCCATGGCGGGAGGAGAACAGCGGCACCTATTTGCCAAGAGGCTGCTGTAGAGGCGGAATGGCGGAGGCTGCTGAGCAGCCCCTAAGGTGTGAGGGGCAGTTGTCATGCTGCTATCATAGCAGTGGAGGCAGCAGCTGGCAATGTGTTCCTTGGAGGCTGTCTCTGCCGCCCCTGTGGATCCTGCCGCCCAAGGCAGTCACCTCACCTTGCCTAATTGGTGGGCCGCCCCTGTTTTGTTAAGGGGTGCTGAGAGCCATTAGGAGACCCCCTAACTCCCCTTCCCAGAATGGTTTAATGATCAATCCCTCTTGCCAGGGAACTCAGGGACTTGTAGCTCTGGGAGGGGAATAGGGGTCTCCTAGGGTTGCCATGGAGGGACGCGGGTGGCGCTGTGGGCTAAACCACAGAGCCTAGGACTTGCCGATCAGAAGGTCAGCAGTTCGAATCCCTGCGACGGGGTGAGCTCCCGTTGCTCAGTCCCAGCTCCTGCCAACCTAGCAGTTCGAAAGCACATTAAAGTGCAAGTAGATAAATAGGTACCACTCCGGCAGGAAGGTAAACGGCATTTCCGTGCGCTGCTCTGCTTTGCCAGAAGCGGCTTAGTCATGCTGGCCACGTGACCCGGAAGCTGTACGCCGGCTCCCTCAGCTAATAAAGCGAGATGAGCGCCGCAACCCCAGAGTCGGTCACGACTGGACCTAATGGTCAGGGGTCCCTTTACCTTTACCTAGGGTTGCCATATGTCTGGGAAAACCTGGGCATATCCTCTTTTTGGGGGCCAACATGCCCATCCGGGTTGATGTTTACATTTTAAAGGAAATGTCCTGGTTTTGGAGGGCTCAGTTTCGGGCTCGGGTTGCTCTGCACATCATGGCCATTGCCAGCCTAAGAGGTGCACGGGTGCGGCAGGGGCAGGTCTTCAAGATATGGCAACCCTATGACCTAACAACATTCAGCCACCCTTAACAAACTATAGTTTCCAGGACTCGGGGGAAGCCATTACCATTTAAAGCGATCTAATATTACTTTAAATCAAGCTTCCTTAAACTCGGATGTTTTGAGACTACAATTCCCATCATCCCTGACCACTGGTCCTGCTAGCTAGGGATTATGAGAGTTGTAGGCCAAAAACATCTGGAGGGCCGAGTTTGAGGAAGCCTGCTTTAAATGTACAGTGGTTCTTGGAGGAAAAGGGTGGGATGGAAATGCAATAGATGAACAGTAAAGTGCGGTAAATAAAAGAGGCATCTCTTTTACCATGTTATCTATACCCTGGATTATATGCTTAGCCCTTTCGCTGCAGGAAGTTGTGGTGGGATTCTCAGGAGTGAACCAAAGTGGGGGATTCCTTCCAGCACAGATACTTCAGTTTCAGAGAAGGGACCTTCCTCAGGACCACAGCAAGGTGCAAATGGGTTAAACTCCCCTGCTACCTACTTACCGTATTTTTCGCTCTATAAGACGCACCAGACCACAAGACGCACCTAGTTTTTGGAGGAGGAAAACAAGAAAAAAAATATTCTGAATCTCAGAAGCCAGAACAGCAAGAGGGATCGCTGCGCAGTGAAAGCAGCAATCCCTCTTGCTGTTCTGGCTTCTGGGATAGCTGCACAGCCTGCATTCACTCCATAAGACGCACACACATTTCCCCTTACTTTTTAGGAGGGAAAAAGTGAGTCTTATAGAGCAAAAAATACGGTACCTGCTGCAGCCCAGATACCTGTCAAACCTTCCCTGCAGCAGAGGCTTATTATAATTATTATCAGTGTATTTGCCTGTTAGGTGCAAAAGACACATTTAACATTGGTGGGAGCGGCCTGCAATCTCTCATTGTTTCTTCCCAGGTGGTGGGTACTCCTTTAATCCATGACACAGATTAACAACCTAACAGCTTCCTTTCCACACCTTCCTTTCCTACTGAAATGAATAACTTCTCCGCCCACGCATGCTGTCCTAACGTCTCCCTGCCCTTTCATTCTTCTCACAAGGCTTCTCTTTTCCTGTCCACCTTCTTACCCAATTCCACCCTTCGAGATAAGAGGGAGTTAAGACACACACACACAGAGGCCAGATTGCATTTGAATCCCTATTTCCCCCCCAGTGTGTAGGGCAGGCATGTCCAAACTTGGCCCTCCAGCTGTTTTGGGACTACAATTCCCTCATCCCTGACCACTGGTCCTGCTAGCTAGGGATGATGGGAGTTGTAGTCCCAAAACAGCTGGAGGGCCAAGTTTGGCCATGCCTGGTGTAGCTCAGGAGCACGCCAAACCCTGAGATTTCAGGGCCCAAACATGAAGAAAAGGAAGAAGAAGAAGAAGAGTAGTTTGGATTTGATATCTTGCTTTATCACTACCCTAAGGAGTCACAAAGTGGCTTACATTCTCCTTTCCCTTCCTCCCCCACAACAAACACTCTGTGAGGTGAGTGGGGCTGAGAGACTTCAGAGAAGTGTGATTGGCCCAAGGTCACCCAGCAGCTGCATGTGGAGGAGCGGAGACGCGAACCCGGTTCACCAGATTATGAGTCCACCACTCTTAACCACTACACCACACTGAGAGCTAGGGGTGGCCTCTGGTGATGCAGCAGCGTAGCGTGGGTTGCCGGGACCCAGGGTGGGCAAGTTGCAACCGCCACCTGAGCTCACCGCCACTGGAGCCTGCAAAGGGCAGAGCCCAACCAGCCAATGCAACCTTTGGCAGGGAATCCCACCAACATCCTCAGAGAGGAGCACTGGGCTGAGCTATGCTGGGGCCCCTCGCCCGCCTCATTCTGGGGTTCACAGCTGCTCATCATGAACCTGAGTTGCTCTGCTGCCATTTCCAGAATGGGGCGGGGATCCCCATGGAAGCAGGCACCTGCGTGAGGGCTCCTGGTTGTGCCCTCTCTGTGAACTGCCCTTAGATCTATGGACACCATTTTCATAAATAATAAAACACAGACCTACAGTTCCCAGCACCCTGAACAAACTACAGTTCCCAGGATTCCCTGTGACTGCTAATGTGGCACAAAAGTGCTAAGGAACGTGTGGCATGGATGTGACTCTTGCCCGCCACACAATGTTAAGCTGGAACAAGAATCCCTTTTGATAACTCATTCTGCTCTGGAAGTTCCAGATTCCAAGCTTGGGTGGTTCTCCGCAGATAATGCTGCCACTTGTAGTTCCCTGGTTCACCACATGGGGCAGCTTCCTGACGACAGCAATGTAGCACTTCTATCTTGCACGATGCACCCTACGAACATTTGGGTGAAACTCTTAATGGGCTGTTTTAATGCACTGTGGGATCATTCGGCTGTAGCCGGATGGGATGGGATACACATGGTTGTAATGTGGCTGAGTTCTGCAGCAGTTAGCTTTTATGGTGCCCCATGGTGATACATCTGGAGATAACACATTTTCCCTAAATACAAATTTCCCTAAATTCCCAAACTTCCCCACCCACACCCCCTCCACGGACCACATGAAAATTATGGATTTTTTCTGACACGGTGCAACAAGACAACTAGCTTCATGTGGTTGTTTTTTTTTAAAAAAAAAAACCCTCCCAGAACAGATTCTGTTCCTGTAATAGGAAAACACCATCACATAATTTGGGATTGCCCTCTTCTCGACACTCCTCGCAGAGATCTCCTAGGGACTGCCTTGCAGCTCAAAATATTGATTTACAAAGAGTCTGTCATCCAATATTTGTCGAGGGATGATACTACAAAGATTGTTTTGGGGGTACTTAGCCAAGATCTTTAAAGCTAAATCTAACGTTTCCTGATTTATTCAATGGTGGCTATGTAGTCTTTTATATATTGTGTGTGTTTGGATTATCAATGCATTTGGATGACTTTGGATGATTTTACTGTTTTAACTTATGCCAATGCAGGCTAGTAGCAGCAGCTAGCTTCCTGTTTTCCTGGCAGCCTCTTGCCAAACCTCAGAGGGCAAGGGCGCAGAAGAAGCAAGACCTTGGATGCTGAAACACAGCATGCCAGTGGTAACCCAGTGCAGGGAAACCAACTTTTATTTTGAAATCTTTTAAGATAGCATTTTAGTTTTCTGTTATGTTGCTTTGACTGTATGCTCTATATTTGACTTTCTTCAGATTGTTTTATTTATGTTTTATTGATTTAATATGCTGCAAACTGCTTTGCTGTAAACCACAGAGCCTAGGACTTGCCGATCAGAAGGTCGGCGGTTCGAATCCCCACGATGGGGTGAGCTCCCGTTGCTCGGTCCCTGCTCCTGCCCACCTAGCAGTTCAAAAGCATGTCAAAGTGCATGTAGGTAAATAGGTACCAATCCAGCGGGAAGGTAAACGGTGTTTTCGTGCGCTGCTCTGGTTCGCCAGAAGTGGCTTAGTCATGCTGGTCACATGACCCGGAAGCTGTACGCCGGCTCCCTTGGCCAGTAAAGCGAGATGAGCGCCGCAACCCCAGAGTTGGTCACGACTGGACCCTTTACCTTTAAAGGGGTCCCTTTACCTTTAAACCGGTTTGAGATTTTTCTTAAAAATATAAAGCGGTACAGAAATAATAATTAAAAAAAAACAACTTGCAGGGGAAGAAGGTGACGAGGATTCCTGTGGCACCCGGAGCGCCTTCTGCCTTGTGCATAGATCAACGCTTCTTTACCACGCAGCCGGTGACTGGGATTCCCTGCAGGGCTACCTGCGTATAAAAGGTAGAGCAGGGAAGGGGGCGTGGTCTAGCACAACCCCGCCCCCTTCAGAGAAGGCAGCCAATGCGGGGGGCAGAACGCATGGTCCTGGGCGGGGCCGGGGCTCCTTTTATGCAGCTTCTCGCCGCCCCTCCTGCAGAGGCTGTTGCGCTTGATCCACGCGAAGGCTGCGAGGCTGTCTGGACATGTCCTGGGTGCTGCCGGCGCGCGCCCTGCCCCGACGTCTCCCGCTGCCTCACCTGGGCGCCTAGCCGGATCTTCATCGGGCGGAACCCGCCAGGAAGCAGCGCTCTCTCTCCTCCGCCGATCCACGCAGCCAGAGAGAGAGAGCCATGTCCCTTCCGAAAGGTAAGAGAGGGATCTCGCGTGGGTCGCGCAAGAGCTCTTTTGCGCTCCAGGCGAAGGCCAACTGCTCGCACCCCCGCGCTCCACCCCAATGCAAACTTCGGTGTTCAGAAACGGATGGCAGGAAACGCACAACGCTCGAAACCTCCAAAAAAATTAAATTTTTTTTTGCAAGGATAAGCAATGCAAGATCTCTTTCTGATCTCTCCCAAATGCGAAATGTTTGAGCGCACATGTCAAATGGAATAATCTTGTGACTATAAATCTGGCCTAACGATAGCTCTGGCACTCCGAGAGCGGGATCTTCCTGATTTTGCCCTCTTTAAAACCGAGAGGTGGTCAAACTGTCTTTTTTATTATCTCTTAGTGTTTTGTTTAACCGCTTTTAAAACGAGTTTTGAATTCATTGGTGAGAATGAGATCGGTTGTTCCCGAACTTCCTTGAATGTGTTTTATTTTCAGTCCTTATTATGCCAGTGCAATGTCTTGAGAACAGTGTTGAAAGGCAATTTTCCAGTACTATTAATTAGGTGATTATTAATGGTTTTGTGGTACAGTAATATCTGGAAGGTGGCTTGCCAGGAGCGTGATTGGTGTGGAATCGGAATCACCTCTTCTAGGTGTCAGATCTGAGTGTATTTTTCAGTCCAAAATTGTATCGAGGTCTCTGTAATCCACTGTGGGTGCAAACAGGTGTGTGTGTTGTATTTAATGATGGATGTATTATTATTTTTTGCTTTGCATGCGTGTTGTAAACTGCACTAGTGTGAAAGTAGGAGGCAGAAATAATCCCCGCTCTGTCCAATGTGTTGCATTGGACAAGGAATACCGCTTTTCTGGTAAGTTACTCAGAAGCAGAGTGATGCTAGACATCTTTTTGGATAAAGAAAATAAACAGGGCATTGATTCAGCTAAAGACTTGTCATGGAATATTGGTGGCACATAGCTTTCCTTCTCCCTACCCCAAACTTACCCCGAGTTATATATTTTGGGGTCACACTAGTGTGCGAGGGTCATTCAACGTAGCGAAGAAATGGAATTTGAAAAGGTGCTTCTGTTTAAAATTTTGTATGGGCGATATTTAATTATTTATTTGGAAGTTTGCGTCCTGGCTTTCTTTGAGAAATAGACTTGATGTAGCTTACAAAAGAAGGGAAAAAGGCATAAAATGTTAATGAAACAGCTCGGATGGCTAAGAAACAAGTTCATGGCTTAAACCTATGAGCAGGGTTTGAAAAACCAGTTAAGCATAAAAATACAGACGTTGCTAAATTATTGGTGAAATTAAAAACAGCTTGTCTGAAACTTGACAGAGGGAGCCAAACAATCCTCTCTATAACATGTAAATTATTACATTTATCTCCCCCAGTTCCTTCAAGGAGCTCAAGGTGGTGTACGCTGTTTTGTGTTATAAGTAATGCGTATCTTAGAAAATCGTTGTCTTTATCTGTGCATATAAACATGAGGGGCAGTGTGGTGCAGCGGTTAGAGCATTGGCCCACTGCTAGGTTCTTTGCGCCTGGCCTTGCAGGGTTGTTGTGAAGATAAAGTGGGTGAGTTGAGTTCCTTAAGAGGCTGGGTGGCATAATGATGGTATAAGGTACAAACGCATGGAGAAATCAGAAGGCCTTGCTTGCCCTTATGAGCTTCACAGGCAGTTCTTCCCCTGTGCTGCGCCAGTTCTTTCTACAGATGTTTCATATTTCTGCTCTTATCATCACAGGCTGCGTGAGCTTCGCTCTGTGTCATGCAGCAGCTCTGAGCTGTAACTCAGCCTTGGTGGGATGGGCAGATAGTGTCATGCTTTTGTTTTGGAACACTTGCTCACGTTTCTGTTTCCAAATCTCGGTCCTCTTTGCGTGGGATCTGGCTGCTTGTTCTCGACTGCCTGAACTCTGTCCAAGGGGCAAGATATTGCACAGCTCCTGTGGTCCTCGCCGCATGTCAGAGGACACAGGGCAGAATAAGAGTCCTGCTGGGGAAAGGTCCTAGCTCACCGGTAGAGCTTCTGCCTTGCATGCAGAAGGTCACGGGTTCAATTCCTGGCATCGCCAGGTAGGGTTGGGAATGTTGACTGCCTGAATCCCTGGAGAGGTGCTGCTGGTAATTGTAGACCAACCGGGCGACCACGATCGACAGGTAGATCGCCAGGGTTATCCAGGTCGATCGCAGGAGTAAAAAAAGAAATTGCCCTGTTGCTCCTGAGCGATGGCGACGCATCCTGCCCCTGTTGGCGCTGCTGTGAAAGCTTTAACTCCCTTAGTTGGTGGCAGAGTGGGCGAAGGAGTGAGGGCTGTGGACTGTTGTGTGATTGATGGTCTGCCACCTTTCCCAAAAAAAGCAATGACAATGGGTAGATCACATTATACTGGGAGTAGATCGCAGTCTCTAAAGAGTTGGATGTGTCTGTTGTAGACGATAGATGTAGTTGGATAAAAACCAATGGTCTGATCTGGTACAGTGGTACCTCGGGTTACATATGCTTCAGGTTACAGACTCCGCTAACCCAGAAATAGTACCTCAGGTTAAGAACTTTGCTTCAGGATGAGAACAGAAATCGTGCTCCTGTGGCGCGGCAGCAGCAGGAGGCCCCATTAGCTAAAGTGGTGCTTCGGGTTAAGAACAGTTTCAGGTTAAGTACGGACCTCTGGAACGAATTAAGTACTTAACCCAAGGTACCACTGTATTAGGCAGCTTCCTTTCCTGCTAGGAGTCAGTGGCTGGAGGATGCAGTGGCTAACAGCAGTACAGAGATAGAGGGCAAGATTCAGTCTAAATTCTTGCCACTGGCAACGAGGGATATGGGGAGATGCTTTAAAAGCCCCCAGCATGAACGCAAGTACCCCTGTGGCTCTGCAGAGGTGGAGTCTGTGGCCCGTGTCCTCCTGTCCTGGACAAGATCTTTTATCAAAGCCCTCTTATTTGGAAGCTTCAGCTGCTCCAAATGCTCCAGCCCAGCTGCTGACTGGCGCCTGTTCCAGAGAGCATAGAATTGTAGAGCTGGAAGGGAGCGCACGTAGATAACCTTGCCCAACCGCCTGCAGTGCTGGAATCATTTGCCCGCTGTGGGGCTTGAACCCACAACCCTGAGATTAAGAGTCTCGTGCTGTACCAGCTGCGCTACCCCAGGTCATGAAAACAACTGCACAATTCAAGGTGTTGGTTATGACCTCCGAAGCCCTATATGACTGGGGCCCAGGCTCCTTGAGAAAATGTACCTCCCTATATATATATGAACCTGCCTGGGTGCTAGGATCCTTGGTCGACCACCTTCTGTCGGTCCCATGAGCATCAGAAGCGCATGGTCGGTGGTGGCAGGAAAGGGAGCCTTTTTTCCCGTGGCCCCACCTTTGTGGACTTCCCTCCCAGGAGAGGTTAGACTGGCTCCCTCCTTGGCAGGCTGAGACTGACTTATTAAGATGGCCCCAGCGTCCAGAATTAGCCAGGCGCCAGGTGCGTTTTGCCATCCAGCAGCCATTTATGTGATAGGTGGTGGGCGGTCCTAATGGAGGTGTGGGCTTTGGTCCTGAAGACATAAAATGGACAGACATTTCAAGATGCTATAAGATTATTTAGATTATTCATTCCTTTCGTCCGGGTTGGAGCATGGCCTGAGGGAGGGTCCCAAGGGCCAGGGAGACAGGTTGCCCCCCCCCGTCATTTATTTCCTGGGACTGATGTTCAGCATCCTTGCCCTGCACCTAGAATTTCCAAGGCTGCTGAAGTGGTTTAATTCTAGTTTTTTGGGGGGGGGGCAGGAGAGGGGAAGGCAGCAAAATTTGGAAAACAGCTTGGTTTGTGCCAACATTGCAGTTAATTGTACAAAAAAACATATACTGGCCTGCAATCCTGTGCCCATCAAATAAACCCCATTGCGCACAGTGGGAATTGTAAGCGTATGAAAATGGAATTTTGTTTGACACTTTTGGCCGGGCAGCACACCTGAGCTGTGTGCGCCTGTGTGTGTTCTGCTTAAGATAAAAATAAATAAAAAATTAAATACAAGGGAATGTCCCTTTCTGGGATTACAGTTGGAACAAGAATGCTTCGTTATTTGTTAATTCCCCACATCAAAGGCCGGGGAACCCTTTTAAGTACTCTGTTAATGACTACTGGGGTATGGCCCGCACGTTGTTTGCATAGTTAGGCATAATAGAGTAATTACTACTTGCGTAACTGGCAAGAAGAGAGAGAGAGAAGGCTAGATATCGAAATGTTCTTTGCGTTTCGGTGTTCTCATTTGCCAGGCTTGCTTTATGGCAGGCTCGTAAATAGCAGCTTGCCCGATTTGCCTGCGGTGGGTAAGAATCTCTTGCCTGCAAATGAACTGGGAGAATTTTGAAAACTGGAGGACAGTTGTCCATCACTGACTAACATAGGTATGTGCAGGCAGGCAGATGAGTCAACAAATATGTATGGGCAGGCAGGCAATGTTTTTCTGGTTTGGCTAAGTAACTTTGGTCCAAGGGTGAGGAACCAGATGTTGATGGACTACAGCTCCCACAATCCCTGACCATTGGGCCATCTTTCCTGGGGCTGATGGGAATTGGAGTCCAGGAATATCTGGAGCAGAGCTTTCCAAACTGTGTGTCATGACGTCAGTGTGTTCTAGGTGTGTCACGCCCCCTGCACTCCTCCTGGGGCTGGAAAGGGGTTAGTTCAACCTCCCGTTTGCTAGTAAAACTGAATTATTGTGTTGCAAAATGATGCATGTCTAAAAAGTGTGTCACTGACACGAAAAGTTTGGAAAGCTCTATCTAGAGGGTCGTAAGTTCCTGTATTAATGGACCTAATGTTCTACCACTGAGCTACAGTCTTGTGGAATAGAGTTTTGCTGGAGACAGCCAGAAGCTTTTGGAAATGCCTCAAAAGCTGGTGTGATAAAAGCAAGCGGTTGCTGTGTTGTAAAAATCAGTCCTTAATATCCTTTCGGCACATACTTGGAGGCCTGTCATCGCCCACTTCCCTTTTGGCAAGTTTGCAGAAATCTCTTTGGCGGGTGAGAATGGCCAAAGGTGACACAGGAAGTCACTTAATGAAGTGGGCTAATTTATTTGGACCATTTTTTTAAAAACAAACCCTCTAAACGACTCCAAAACCACTTTGTATGTGGGTTTTTAAATAAGTCGGAAATGGAAAGCTGTAGGGTCATTGTGCCATTTATTTTTTAAAGGTGTGTGTAACTGCTTATCTTACTTGCCAAACTGCAAAATGAACAGAAAGTGATTTGCAGCAATAGAATATTTGGTCAATATATTAAAAACTATACATTCAGGTTACCAGACCTCCAGTTCTGACCAGTCTCCAGGTTTGCCTTCCCCTGACAGGTAGACGGCTTGAATCTTCAGGTGGGTGAGAATGCCTTTAATAGATTAAAAGAATATTAAGAAGATTATGCATGTTGTTTGCGAGCGTTAGCCCAGCAGGACTTGGCTGCAAATTACAGCATAGAACCTCTGGGAGACCTGTCCTCCTCTGCTCCCCTCTCCCACTTAACCTCCATCTCCAGGGCCTGTCCCTGTGACATCACCAAGTCTCAGGCTTGGGCCCTGAAATCTCAGGATCTGGGATGCTCCTGATCTGGCAGTCCCATTGAAGATACATAAATCAGCAGTCGTGGAAGAGCATGATGAGTCCCAAGTAGAATTAAATGACAGAAATCCTGATGCAGGTGTCTCCCCACTGATGGGGGTTACATTCCCAGGTACCACATGTATACGTGAAATCGTGTATAGTGGGGAACACCATCTAAAAAGCCGAACTCGGTCCAAAATCCACAAATACCCCCACCAAACTCCACCTAAACGATTCCTTCCAAACTCTAGCTCTCCACAGTCCTCGAACGTTGGTGCAAAGGCTCATGGGATTGCAAGCTGTGTTTCTGCTCTTTTTGCGCCATTTTTGCTATTTAAATCTATTGTTTAAATATTTCCTGGCGCTGCACATAGAAGCGATCGCATGTGAGTCAAAATGCATGTAAGTGGGGAAAACATTCGGAAACCAAGGCGCAGCTTCCGATTGGCTGCAGGAAGTTTCTGCAGCCAATCGGAAGCCGCGTCGGACATTCGGGTTCCAAAGAATGTTTGCAGACAGGAACACACACTTCCGGGTCTGCGGCGTTTGGGAGCCAAAGCGTTCGACTCGCAAGGCGTTCGCAAACCAAGGTACAACTGTATTAGCATCACATAAAAAAGCCACTTGCATAATCTTGTGTTAACCGAGCATATAAAGACTGTTTCTCACATAAACATGCAACAGGTTGTCAAAGAAAATATGGCTGCCAGTATGCTCTTTCTGTGAGCTAATCCATGGTCAGTCCTAGTTCAGGGGTGGGGAACCTGTGGCTTTCCCACTGTTGCTGGATCAATATATTTCTGACCGTTGCCCAAGGGGCTGACGTGAATTGTTGTCAGTTACGTGTGCATTCCTATATGGGTCTCCTCAGAAGTAAGCCCCATTAATGGGATTGGGTTATTATTGGCTTAATGGAATGATGATGATGATAATAATAAAGATAAGTATAATTATTATAAATAATAATGGGTTAATGGAATAATGGTTTAATGGACTTAATGGAAGTTTTTATAGGATTGCACTGAAAATGGACTTTATGGGATGCTCACCCATAAGAAAACACTACTTTGGGCTATTATGAATAAAAACCTTTAATATATTTATACATTAATACAGCAAACTTCTTTTTATTATAAGTATCCAATCTTCTTCAACTTAAAGCAGCAGAATATTTTCTTGGAGAAGCAACATAAATAAAATAAAAGTTTAAAATAAAGTATAAATAAATATTATTAGTATTATTATTATAACTGGATGTGATCAAAGTATGGTCCTTTCAACGGCTATTATCTATTAGCTTTGCATACTTTATCTCGTGCTGCTGCTTGCGTGTGTGTGTGTGTGTGTGTGTGTGTGTGTTTGCTTAACCTCATGTGGAAAGGATGCTGGAGAATTATCACCTGTGCAGGTGAGTGAGCCTGGAAGGCATCACTGGCTTGTCAGGTGCCTTTACAGGTGAGCGTGATGACAAGGAACTTGAATAATTTTTTCAAAACATAGGAAGCTGCCTTATACCTGAGTCAGACCATTGGTCCATGTAGGTCAGTATTGTCTACACTGACTGACAGGAGCCCTCAAGGGTTTCAGGCAGGAGTCTCTCCCAGCCCTATGTGGAGATGTCAGAGATTGAACCAGGGCCCCTTCTGCCTGCATAGCAAATGCTTTACTACAGAGCCCTATGGAGGGAAATTATATTTTCAACACAGTTGCTGGAAGTTTTGAGGTGAATTTGGAAAGTGGTTCTGTGTTAATTGTGTTTTGGGGGAGTATTTTAAATACGTAGCGGCATTTATATTACAAAATACTATTATTTTTCTTTTTTGTTCACCTCCTTTTGGCAACTCCTGTAGCCGAGCTGATGGCAAACGTATTGCTCTGCTTTCCTTTTCATTTAAATATACGGTATTCTATTCAATTCTCACAGATTTCACATGTAATTCCAATACGTAATGCATTTGTACCTCGGAAGTCGAACAGAATTCGTTCTGGAAGTCCGTTCGACTTTCAAAGCACGGCTTCCGATTGGCTGTAGGAAGCTCCTGCCGTGGAAGCCCCGTCAGATGTTCAGCTTCCGAAAGAACGTTCGAAAACTGGAACACTCACTTCCGGTTTTTGATCCTTCAGCAGCCGGAACGCTCGACTCCGAAGGCATTGAGGAACCGAGTGTGGCGATCACACAGGGTCCCCGGACGTTTCACTACTTTATTTCTCGCTGCTACCACCCAGGCCCAGTCAGGGTTAAATTGGAACATAAACTTCTGTTTATTTATTGCAGTTTAACAAGCGTGTGGTTTCATAAATGGTCTCAGTCAATTACAATCATGGGCTGCCTATCCAGACCTATAACTTCCGCTACTTGCTCTCACTCACTAAACCACCTCTCAGATATTTACTTGTCTTCCGAGCTCCCTAACTGTTCCTGACTCAGCTTATTTCACTACACTAACTCAACCTACCCACAGACTCTATTCCAATTCACTCCCACTCCAACCAACCACCCAACTCCCAATGAACTCCCTGTTTCCCCCTCCCAGAGCTGGTTTTATAGTCCCTCTGACTCCACCCCCCTCAGTTCTGATTGGGTAACCTGTTTAACTAGTTCACCTCCAGCACTCTCATATGTTAACGTCACACCGAGGTATGACTACAATTCTTTCTTTTATCAACTTCTTATCTTGTTTTCCAATTCCCCCTACCTCTTTGCTGCACCCCATCTTCCCTCTTTTGTATCCTAATCACAGTACAATAATTTCTAAATCTTTCCGTTGCTCACAATTCAAATCCTGCTTGCGCATTCATCATATTATAATATCCCTCTAAATGCACTGCTTTCTTTTGGACCACATCAGCAAGACCAAGTGGGGTGTCTTGTTGTTTTAGCAGCCCAGGACCGCTATAATAATTTAATAATAATAACAATAATTTTATTATTTATACCCTGCCCATCTGGCTGGCTTCCCCCAGCCACTCTGGGGGGCTTGCAGCAAAATATAGAAATGTAATAAAACGTCAAACATTTAAAACTCCCCGATATGTACAGGGCTGCCTTCCATATATACTGCTGAGGTTTGCGCCCGGGACAAACAGATGTCAACAGCAAATTCTGTCCCACCATTCTTCCATCCTGGAACCCAAATCAGCATACCTCCTGTTCTGAGATGGTCACCCACCCAGATACTGACCAGAAGCAGACCTATTTTGCTTCAGCAGGCCCTCTTGCATCTTCAGACCAAAACCTCAGACCGTATTGTAAACTGCTGTGGTATATATTTGCAGAAGAGTAATTTGCAGAAGAGTAATATACAGCTGTCTTAAAGCAGGCGTAGCAAATATTGCACACCCTCCAGTTGTTGTTGGACTCCAATTCCCATCAGCCACTACTAGCATAGCCAATGGTTGCACTCTGGAGGGGCCTCCACATTGGGCATCACTGCCATAAATGAATAAAAATCACTTCCTTCTGAATCCGGTTAAGCTCATGCAAAAATGTTGGCCATCACATCATTACTAAGCCCTCGAGGAAAGGAAGTGAGTTTGAGTGAGGGTGGAAGTTTCCGTTGTGTACTTTGGTGGTGGTTGTTGTTTAGTCGTTTAGTCGTGTCTGACTCTTCGTGACCCCCTGGGCCAGAGCACGCCAGACACTCCTGTCTTCCACTGCCTCCCGCAGTTTGGTCAAATTCATGCTGGTAGCTTCGAGAACACTATCCAACCATCCCGTCCTCTGTCATCCCCTTCTCCTTGTGCCCTCCATCTTTCCCAACCTCAGGGTCTTTTCCAGGAGTCTTCTCCTCATGAGGTGGCCAAAGTATTGGAGCCTCAGCTTCAGGATCTGTCCTTCCAGTGAGCACTCAGGGCTGATTTCCTTCAGAATGGAGAGGTTTGATCTTCTTGCAGTCCATGGGACTCTCAAGAGTCTCCTCCAGCACCATAATTCAAAAGCACCAATTCTTTGGTGGTTATTATTATTATTATTATTATTATTATTACTGAAAGACAGGGTGTGAGGCAGCATGGTGTAGTGGTTGGGTCGGGCTTAGGGGTGATGGTAATTGTACAGTCCAACAATTCTTGGAGATGCTATAGGTTTCCTGGCTCTGTAGCGTAACCTACTTCACAAAGTGGGTGTGAGGTGTGTGTGTGTGTGTGTGTGTGTGTGTGTGTGTAAATGGGGTGGCTGTGGAGAAATAATTGTCTATTCTACCTTGAACTCCTTGGAGATATGGCAGGATAAAAGTGTAGTTAACACCAGAACTGGATATTCTGTTCTGAAGGGGAGGATATGGTGCAATAACTACATTAGGGCAATTCCTTTGTTTGGACCAACCAAAATGTTGCAGAGGTGTGTCTGTGTATTTCATTGTTCATCTTCCTTTTTATCCTGCAGAATTCTTCAGGCTGGATGTTTAAATAAACCGTCAGGGAAGAGGGTGAGGAAGATTAAAATCCGGGCATGTGGGGAAAGTTCACAGGTCTACAGTTCATAATAATCCTTGGCTGGTCTGTAAAAAACTGATCTGTAAAAAATGTTACTTGAAAGGAGAGAGAGAGAGAGACAGACATTGCACATACTTCTGTAAACCAAGAACATCTTTAATAAAATAAAATTAAATTAAAATCCTCAGCTGGTATGCGGGCAGGGGTTTCTTTGACAGACCTGTCCCATCCTTTTTTGCCGTGAACATCCTATCTTTGTTTGCTTGGAAGGAAGCCCCACGGATTGCAGTGGAATTTCTCCCAAGGAAATGTGTGAAGGATTGTGGTCAGCAGGTTTTGCATACCATTTCCCGCCTCCAAACTTTCTCTCCCACATTTCCCTCCTCCCCAGTAACACTTGTCAACACTGCATGGATTCTGAAGAGGTGGATTGGGGTCGCCAAAGGCTTACCGTTCTGAATTTTTTTATTCTTTGCCGTTTTCGTTGCAGCAAACTGACTGGGCTACCCTTGGTGGTGGCTGGCGCCTGTAGGTGCTTTTACGGCGGAAGGCACAGTAGGCAGAGCCAAGATTGTTAGCTGCCCCCTATTCTTCTCACAAGATTCCCAGAATTCCCTGGGAAGAGGAATGGACGGTTTAAACGTAACAAACTACTGCTCCCAGGATTCTTTGCAGGAAGCCATGACAGTTTTTGGGGTGCCCAAACTTTTTTCAAAGAGGGCCAGATTTGATGAAGTGAACATGCATGAGGGCCAACCAAAGTTGTTCAGCTTTTTTAAGGATTGAAGTTGTTCAGCTTTTTTTTAAGATTGACGTTGTTGAGCTTTTTTTTTAGGATTTTACCCCAGGAGATAGACTGGATTAAACAGAGCAGTGGGCCCCTGGATTAGGACTTTGGACAGGCCTGGTTTAAAGTGTTACAATACCGCTTTAAACAAATAGTGTGTAGGCGAAGGTGGGCTCATCTGTTGTCTTTCCGCATTAGGTATCCCACCGAGGTTTCAACAACTGAGGGGGATCTTCCTTCCGGTGAGGTGATGTGCAGGATTCTTGCTGGGTTTCGGTGAGGGACGCCACAACACGTCCCTGTGGGTTGAGCTGAGCTGTGTGTGTGTGTGTGTGTGTGTGTGTGTGTTTAACCAGAGAGAATCTGGATTTGCATTTCCTGTCTATTGGCGTGTAACCCTCTTATGAGTCAGCACCGTCATGTTTCTGAATGAAGAAGCTGATTCACCGGCAGAAGTGTGTAGGCTGGGCCCGGCTTCCTGGTCCTTGAAGCAAGCGGCTCTGCCTTTTAAAGGGGAAATGGTGTGGCCTCGAGTTGTGACAGGGTTTGCAGTACAAGTACAGTGGTACCTCGGGTTAAGTACTTAATTCGTTCCGGAGGTCCATTCTTAACCTGAAACTGTTCTTAACCTGAGGTACCACTTTAGCTAATGGGGCCTCCCACTGCCGACGGAGCACGATTTCTGTTCTCATCCTGAAGCAAAGTTCTTAACCTGAGGTAATATTTCTGGGTTAGCGGAGTCTGTAACCTGAAGCGTATGTAACCCGAGGTACCACTATAAGGATAGATCCCGACTGGTTCAGTTTCCGTTTCCCTTATGTGGTGGAGGTCTGGGTTCAGGGGCGAACGTTGGTAATGTGACTCTCTGAGCGAGGACAAAATTTCGTGCCCCCTCTCTGCTCTAAATACTCACATTCCGCCGCCCCCCACGCCGGTTCACGTTTTGGAGGAAAAAAAGAGAGGACTAAGTGCAATTAATAATAATAATAAATTCAGATTTCTAAGCCTGGTGCCTGCAAGTTGTTTGAGGGGCGTGTCTCTCCTACCCACCCTTCCCTGGAGTGGGTCAGCATTTATAAACCCAACAGGCAAAATGCATTCCTTGTGTAGAAAATAGTAGAACTGGCTAGAGGGGATTAGATTTCTTCCTTTGTTTAAAAGCAGCAGCAGCAACAATACTGGACAGCTTGAGCTTTTTAATGTGGCATTGCGCAGCTGAGCTATCTGGAGAGTAGAATCATATGGTGCAGTAGGAGATATTGGGAACTAACAAGACCTGATTGTCGCCAGAATAATAATAATAATAATGTGCACCGCCAATCTGACTGGGTTGCCCTGGCCACTATGGGTGGCTTGCAACAAAATATTAAAAACACAGTAAAACAGGGGTTGGCAAGGTTTACCCGTGATTTCCAGTGTTTGCGCCTGTGCAGACGCGATTTCCGGCGCCGCGGAAGCGAGTCCCTGTGCTGTGCCAGTTTAGCGCAGCGCGCAGGGACTTATCGAGTGGGTGGCTCGGTTCAGGGTTAGCTCATGGGCCAGTTAAATGACCCCCCCCAAGGGCCGCTTGTGGCCCATGGACCTTAGGTTGCCTACCCCTGCAATAAAACCTCAATAAAACCACAATAAAAACTACCCTTTACAGGACTGCCTTCAGATGTCTTCTAAAAATCAGGCATTTATTTCTTTGACATCTGATGAGAAGGTGTTCCACTGGGAGGGTGTGATTAGTTAATGGAACCTCTCCACTGAGAATATTAATCTGTTGGTATAACAAGGTCTTGATTTTGGTCATTAACATAGTTAAAGAAAGGGGGCCCTTGTGTCTTCGAAGGTATCTCTCTTCATTATGCCTTTGACTGCCCTCTTGTGTCTGCTGAGAGGTTCCTTGTAACTTCACTTCTTGCAATGAGGGAACTGCCAGAAGGCCGTCACGGGCTGGACCTCTGTGTCTGGGCTGAACCGTGGGGTTGGAGACGCTCCTTCAGTGTTATTATATTTTAATGCACAAACAGACAGCTTGAAATGGGCATCAATTGCATAACGCTAGTTGGCCAAGAGATTGTCTCAGCTTGGAGAAACTTGGCTCTGTTGCATCTGTCATGTTGTGATATTAATTGGTTGACGCTGCCAAATCTGGTAGTTCCATCAAGGTAGAAGTGTCCCACCGTGTCCTGGTAGCCTGACTGAAATTGGTCTGGTGCATTGCTGAAGCATAAAGGGGGAGAGTTTCCAAGTGTCCACTGCACCATTGTAAGGAGGTTTCATGCATTCACATGCCTGAACTTGTTCTGTAAGTAAACCAGCTCGATTTTGCACAAGAGCTGAGATTCCCGACATCAAAATGAGTGTGCAACGTGGAAACGAGCACCTAGCGCAGCAGCCGTTTTTAATCTGGTCCAGGCGACCCCACAAATTTGGTACATTTCGAGGTAAAAAAATGGGTCATGTTGTGATTCTTTTAATGGAATGCGATGCATAAGAGAGGGAAGGTTTGTGTGGTGGGAGACGTCATCTCTGGGGAAACAAACAGTACCATCTTGGAACTTGGCGAGGCAGGAAATCAATAGTGCAGCAAGCTGAAGGGGCTGTGCTGGGAATGGGGCAAGTTCCTTCTGGCTGGTGGTGGCTGCAGATAGTGGAAGGAAATGCGGGTTGGGGTTATCCAGTAAGACAGGAAGGACGGGCCAAAAGAGCCATCAGGTGCCTGAGCCTCACAAGTACGCCTACAGCTCTTGAAACCCACCAGCTCTTCCTTCCCCTTTCTGCACAATGAAAATGGAAGTTATTCTGAACCCTGAAGGTTATTCTGAACCCATGCTCCTTCTGGGAGGAGCTGATCTGGATCTTGTGCTGCCAGGGCTGTGCACGAGAGGCAGTATGGTGTAGTGGTTAGTGTTGGACCCGAGAGACCAGGGTTCCAATCTCCACTCAGCCGTGAAGCTCACTGGGTTGACCTCTCACCCTAACCTACCTCACAGGGTTGTTGTGCGGATGAAATGAGGGTTGTGCATTTCACCCTGAGCTCCTTGGAGACAAAGGTTAAAGGCCCATCGAGTCCAACATCTTTGATCACATTGTGCAGCCAGATGCTTGCCAGCAAGACCTGAGTGGAACAGCATTTTCCCACTTGTAATTCCCAGCAGCTGGTATTCCAAGGCAGACTGCCTGATAGCTCAGTTGGTTAGAGCGTGGTGCTGATAATGCCAAGGCTGCAGGTTTGATCCCCATTTGGGACAACTGCATATTCCTGCATTGCAGGGGGCTGGACTGATCCTCAGAGTCCCTACAAAATTCTATGACAGGATCCAGCCATTGTGGCTAGTAGCTATAGCAGCTGGGACATCCAGAAAGCAGCTACATATTCTGCAAATAAGAACATTTAATAATAATAATAAATAAATTGATTTATATACTGATCTTCACCAATCAAAAGATCCTAGTGTGGTGTCCATCATTTAATAATAAAAGCAAAATACAAAGCATAATAGACAGCATAATAGTCAAATAATTATAATACAGTAATCATTTTGATATTATACTGTACTGTACTTTGTTGGCATCCGTCTGTCTCAAGAGACAATGGAGTTTGCCTCTGGCGGTCAAGTCCAACCACTGCATGATATACGACACAGGAATGTTTAAGTGTTACTTTGATCATCCTTGGGTCTTCCCAACACACTTGCCCTTGTCTCCTGCCACACCCTTTGAGAACCACTGACTTAGATCGTGAGGTTCTTAGATGTAGACCTAGATCTCTTGAGCTAATAATGGGTCAGGAGAGGACTCTGGGATGATGGAAGTTGTGCTCGGCAAAGTTTGATCCATCAAGTGGAGTTTGCTTTCTTTTTGCTGCTGCGCAAGGGAAATTAATGTTGTCTTGCCTTGTTCTCTGTTTGCATTGGCCAACTTCGTGACTCGGCTCTGAATGCCTTTCCCCCTTTGTTCTGGCTTGCAGAGAAACAAATAGAATGGGTTAGTATTACTCGAACATCATTTGGAGGGCTACGGATTCTCCGCCTCTGACCCACTCCATCATCCTTGTTTACCCTAGTGGGAAACTCACAAACAGGTCACTAGTGCAATGACTGTCTCCTGCTGTCATCCCCCAGAATCTGGAGGCATTTTTGCCTCTCATCCCGGGCGTACAAAGCAGCCAAGATGACCAGCCAAGCAGCCAATGATTGTCTCAATCCCCCATGAATGTCCCCAATGCTCTGCCATTCCTGGAAAGCTTCTGGACATGACGCACAAGCCGAGTTCTCTCTCATGTAGACTAGGCTGCCTTGCTGACTAGTTACAGCCTTGCGTTTCTGGAGTGCATTTGTAGAAGAGCTCCACATAGTGGCTTCGGATTTATTTTTAAAACAATGTCGAAAGCATTGACTCGAGTTGCTGCTTTGCTTTTTTAAAATAAGTATCCCTTCTCCTTTTCTTTAGGTGAAATTTTTTTGCTTTCCACCCGGCGTTGCCCATTTAATTCAAACTCGGTCAGCTAGCAACACTTCCTGTTGACGCCCTCCCTTATTGGCTGGTGTTTCGCAGACGCCAAATAAAGCAACAGTATATAAAGAGAGGATGTCAGGCCGGCTGCTGTGGAAGGAGCTTTTTGTGTGGGTGGCTCAGTTGTGAATGGGATCATAACTGCGGCTCGCTCTCTTATCTTCCTGGCAGCATTGAGAAAGGGGGGCGGGGGCGGGGAACTGTTATTTTTGTTTCATTTCCTTTTTCGAGGCTGAAACTGTGTTGCAGCCTGTAAAATCCGCAAGCATTTGGATGGACGCTATTGCACTTGCAAATTTCTCACGGGTGTGATTCTCTTGAATTTTCTTTCACTGCTTCAGATTATTCGTGCTTTTGTTATAATAATAATAATAATAATAATAATAATAAATAATAATAATAATAATTTTTATTTATATCCCGCCCTCGCCAACCGAAGCCGGGCTCAGAGCAGCTAACAACAGTAAAACGATAAAACATTCTAAAATCATTTCATTATGAAATTAATTCCAATCAAGTTAATGGCAACCATTGGGCTAGAAGTTCTGTGAGGATTGCCAAAGGAGGGGGTCAGGCTGTGCCCTGGCCAAAGGCCTGGTGGAACAGCTCTGTCTTGCAGGCCCTGCGGAAAGATGTCAAGTCCCGCAGGGCCCTAGTCTCTTGTGACAGAGCGCTCCACCAGATCGGAGCCACAGCTGAAAAAGCCCTGGCTCTGGTTGAGGCCAGCCTAACCTCTCTCCTTATGAAGGGTCAGGCCCAAAAACTAGACTCTGGGGAAATTTTTGTGGGCAGGGCTAAGGCTACAACGGGGCATGTCGGTCAGTGTGACATACCACAACCCTCAATACAAGCAGTCACGGGCATTGAAAATTCAAGAAGAAGAAGAAGAGTTTGGATTTGATATCCCGCCTTTCACTCCCTTTAAGGAGTCTCAAAGCGGCTAACACTCTCCTTTCCCTTCCTCCCCCACAAGAGACGCTCTGTGAGGTGAGTGGGGCTGAGACTTCAGAGAAGTGTGACTAGCCCAAGGTCACCCAGCAGCTGCATGTGGAGGAGTGGAGACGCGAACCCGGTTCCCCAGATTACGAGACTACCCCTCTTAACCACTACACCACACTGGTTCTCTGAGTGCAGTATTCGTTTATTTACATTTATATCCTGCCTTTTCGCAAAGGACTCGCCGGATTGTGCATGGTTCTCCCCTCTTCATTTCATCCTCTTAACAACCCTGGTCTCTCAGGTCCTACAACACTCTAACCACTGCACCATAAAAAGGTAAAGGGACCCCTGACCATTAGGTCTAGTCGTGGCCGACTCTGGGGTTGCGGCTCTCATCTCGCTTTATTGGCCGAGGGAGCCGGCGTACAGCTTCTGGGTCATGTGGCCAGCATGACTAAGCTGCTTCTGGCAAACCAGAGCAGCGCATGGAAACGTCGTTTACCTTCCCACCAGAGTGGTACCTATTTATCTACTTGCACTTTGATGTGCTTTCAAACTGCTAGGTTGGCAGGAGCAGGGACCGAGCAACGGGAGCTCACCCCGTCGTGGGGATTCGAACCGCCGACCTTCTGCTCGGCAAGTCCTAGGCTCTGTGGTTTAACCCACAGCGCCACCCTCGTCCCAATACTGCACCATACAGACCCTGATTTAAAAATAAAAATGTACAAGTGGTTTTGGACACAATGTAATGTGTGGGGACAACACACAGCAAGAGCCTGTCTCTTGTGCTTCCGTTGGGTGCCTGTGGACTGCATCTCCCATCATCCTGGATCATTAGTGATGCTGAACGGGGCTAATGGGAACCGCAGTGTAGCAACATCTGCAGGGCTGCAGCTTCCCCATTCCTTGTGTGCAAACCTGTTCCTAACACAAGGAGAGATGCATAATGTCCATGTCGGATATACCGTACCAAGAAATGAAGGGAACAGGAAGCGTGAAGGGACATGTGCTTCCTCTCCTCCCTGTGTCTCCAAACCATTCCGTAATGTCTGGAACCACAGACTTTCCAGGTGTGTTTGAACCTAGGCCTGCTATAAACGCCTTATCTGCCAGAAAATCAACATTTCGCAGAGCCTTTTCAGGTTGGGATGGACAAGGCTTTAGTTAGAAGTTGGGTTTTCCTTGTTAACGTCCTTTCCTTGAATTGTGCTGGTAACAATTGCACGGGAAGAAGCTGAGGAATGTTTCTCTCTCTCTTTCATCTTCAGATGCTAACTACTGCCACCCTTCTTGTTTGCGCTGTTCTTGAGTTCCTCCCTGGAGAATTGTATGAAACACCCCCCCCCCCCCCGCTTTATTTATTCTGCGTTTCTCTTACATAAGCAAAGGAATGTTGGTGCAGTTCAAGATTTCCTGAATTCAATCCTCTATTGTGGTTCAGGCTCAAAATATGCTTTAAAACCACACAAAACACCTGTGGGTGTAAAATAATGGTTTATGGAAGCATGCTGTTAAGCCTAGGAAACAAGGTACTATTCCTTAAGGATATTGGTATGAATGCTCCCCTTTCAAAGACTGATCAATACCTTTTCCAAATAGCCTTTGAGTTGACTTGTTGGCTGCTGTTTCTGCTGTTGTATTCTGTAACAGTGGTACCTCAGGTTACATACGCTTCAGGATACAGATTCTGCTAACCCAGAAATCTTACCTCAGGTTAAGAACTTTGCTTCAGGATGAGAACAGAAATCGTGCTCCGGCGGTGCGGCGGCAGCAGGAGGCCCTATTGGCTAAAGTGGTGCTTCAGGTTAAGAACAGTTTCAGGTTAAGAACGGACCTCCGGAACGCATTAAGTACTTAACCTGAGGTACCACTGTACTAGTCATTCCAATTATTCCATTTTTAAAAAATGCCACCTGCTCAGGACAGTGTGATTGGTCCTTTCCTCCACCATAACTTTATCTTCACAAGGCCCCTGCAAGGTCAGTCGGGCTGAGAGTGACAGCTCAAGATCACCCGATGATCCTTGTTAGTGTTTGTTACTATGCTACGTGCGTTATCTTTGTGTTTTTATGTTGTAAACAGCCCTGTGATCCTCGGATGAAAGTGGCGTAGAAATGTACTAAACAAGAACAGAAATAAATGAAGCTTCATGACAAAGTGAGGTTTGGTTTTTTAAAGGTGTTTTTTTGGGGGTCCTTTGTATTTATTTTTTTACTTCTTAATGTATTTACAAAATTCTACTTTTCTTACGTTCAAGAGCCCAAATCAGTTAACTGCAAAGCATTTTTAAACCCAGCAACCATAAATAAAAATCTTAGGGGAACGAACAGGTGACTCAGGCATAGAGCACAATCTTTGCCTGGCATCCGATACGATATCTTTATTGTCATTGTCCCATGCAGAACAATGAAATTGAAAAACTACACAAACCATTCAAAACCCCCTAAAAACTCTAAAATCCCATTTTAAAATACACTATACTATAGAGACCCCTTATGCTGCGTTCAGAACCAGAATTGCATTTACGTAGAAACTGTTTCTCAGGCAGCTAGTCCTGGCCTTTATACCCCTATGCCTTCTTCCAGAAGGCAGAAGCTGAAAGAGATCATTTCCGGGGTGCGTACTATCCTGCCGCTTTCTTATGGCACCTGACAGCATAGATTTGATCTAAGGTGGGAAGAGTGCACCCAATTATTATCTCCGCAGTCTTTACAACCCTGGACAGCATTGTTTTTCCCCTGACCGTGCAGCTCCCAAACCACACACACAGAACATAAGTTAATACACTCTCCACAGTACAATGGTAAAATGCCATCAACAGGTCCTTTGAGAGATTGTTTTTCCGGAGGATTCTCAGAAAATATAACCTCTGCTCTGTCTGTCTCTGGAGGCAATGGAGGTTTGCGCCTTTTGGGAGTAAAGTCAATCTATTGGAGAGTCGCAGCGCCTGCTGTGGCTGTAGAGACGGATACAGGAGAGACGTGTTTTGTTGCAGCTGGGGAAGATGAAGGCGCCCAGTTTTGTCGCTGCAGATACACCATGGCGTTTCTTCTCTCTGAGCTCCTCCCAGCCGTCATTCCTCCTCTGGTCACTGCTGTGGATACACAACTTGACTGCTTGTCTCCAGGCACTGCGGTCGTCCGCGAGGGATTCCCGCATGGAAGGGTTGGTTTTGCCAGCCTTTGTGTCATGTTTGCTGACATCTTTGTAACACACAGAGTTGGTCTGGCAATGGGCCCTGGTGCCTGAAACCAGCTCCCCGTAGAGCACATCCTTGGGGATCCTGCCATCTTCCATTCTGTGGGCATGACCAAGCCAGCGCAGATGTCAAGGAGACAGGATTGCGAACATGCTGGGAACATGGGCTTGCGAGAGCACACGTTTGTTTGAGACTGTCCTGCCATGTGATGTCCAAAATACTCCTGGCCAGGGTGGATTTGATTTTAATCAAATCAATTTAAATCACGATTTAAATCACTAGTCAGTAAGACGTGATTAGAATCATTTTTTTTTACAGAAAGACTCATTCTTGCTGGTGTAATCTTAATATTTACAACCAGTGGAAGGTTTCATTTTTGGAATAATACATTTTTCAGAGTAGTTTTTACAGTTATATAAAAAATGACTGATTTGGTTATGCTGTTAGAAATACACAGACAGATAATTATGAAATTATTGTGAGGTTTAATAAGTTAACTGTTTATATTTGGACAACTTTTCTGCTGTACTTCATTGGAAGGAGAAAAATAATCATTTCCTTAATAAGGATTTAAACAATTTATTTAACTAAAACAATAACATTATAGCACATGTATCCCTGTTTGTTAACTGAGGCGGTTAAACAATTTCTTTAAACAAAAACGCCTTAGACTGAGTTTTAGCACACATGTAAAACTTAAACCAAATCCTTATTTCCTGATGAATAGCCTTTGGACTATAATGTAACTTAAATAGAAAACTATCTTTAGAAAGATATTTCCTCTGAAAGCATTTTATTTTAAAAATCCAATTTAAAGGGGGGGAATCAAATTTAAAGGGGGGAATCCAATTTAAATGGGGGGGGATCCATTTTTTTATTTTTAAAAGATCTTTTATTTTTGTCCACCCATGGAAGCCGTTAAAGCATCACTCCTGGTGGGTGTAAGCTGCAGATCTAGCAGGCCTGCACATTGAGCGTGCTGCTTAATGGTAGTGAGTTGAGAGCACAGGCTTTGGATGCAAAACATGTCCCTAGATAAGGGTTGGGATAGAGAGTTGCCTGAGACCCCTGGAAAAATATTGAATGCTACTGAGGAAGAAAAACCAGCAGTCTGACTTGGCATAAGTGAGGTCAGGAACCTTCTGGCTCTCCAGCTCCACATCAGCTTCAACCAGGAAGACCAGTGGTCAGGGATGGTGGGAATTGTGTGTCAGCAATATCTGGGGGGCCACAGGTTCCACACCCCTGTGGTACAGAAAGCGACATTCTATGTTCTTGATCAGGGGTCAGCAAACTTTTTCAGCAGGGGGCCGGTCCACTGTCCTTCAGACCTTATGGGGGGGGGGCTGGAGTATATATATTTTTTGGGAGGGAATGAATGAATTCCTATGCCCCCAGAGATGCATTTTAAATAAAAGCACACATTCTACTCGTGTAAAAACACCAGGCAGGCCCCACAAATAACCCAGAGATGCATTTTAAATAAAAGGACACATTCTATTCATATAAAAACACCAGGCAGGCCCCACAAATAACCCAGAGGTGCATTTTCAATAAAAGCACACATTCTATTCATGTAAAAACACCGGGCAGGCCCCTCAAATAACCCAGAGGTGCATTTTAAATAAAAGCACACATTCTACTCATGTAAAAACACACTGATTCCCGGACTGTCTGTGAGATTTAGAAGGCAATTGAGCCGGATCCGGCCCCCGGGCCTTAGGTTGCCTACCCATGTTCTTGATGATGCAGCAAAATCGCTGCAGCAGATCAATACCAACCTCCCCAAAGGCATCCTGAAAGTCAGGTTTTAATTAGCTGGGGAAAATGTCTTATGATGACAGGCAAGACAGACTTCCTTGGGGAGACTGCAGACTTTAGAGCATCAGCATCATCCTCCTTCTCTGTCTACCTGCTGTACTTAATCCGGCAGGAGGGGGGGCAGGCGTGGGGACAGGACCTCCAATATTTCATTATTTATGATTGCAGTAAAACTTCCTGGCAGTTTACAAGAAATATGCAGATTATCAATAACAGTTTAAATGTTTACAGTTGCTTAAAGTAATTAAAATCGGCAGTTAATCTAAAAAGAACAACATCAACATCTGTATATCCAGATAGACTTGCCTAAACAAAATAGTTTTAAGCAGGTGCTGAAAAGAATACAGCAAAGGTTCCTGATATCCAATCAGCAGGGAGTTCCAAAGTGTAGCTGCTACCACAGTTAAAGATCAGTTTCTCACAAATGTGGATCGTATGTGTAACAGGGAGACGTCTGCTTACTGAAGCGGTCAAATGGGTGTATAGGGGAAAAGGCAATTCCACAATAAACTGGTCCTAAGCGGTTAAGAGCTTTATATATTAAGTTGATCTGAGTGTATGAGAGCCAGGGTGGTGTAGTGGTTAAACTGTTGGACTAGGGCCTGGGAGAGCCGGGTTCAAATCCCTACTTGGCCATGGAATTCACTGGGTGGCCTTGGGCCAGTCACAATCTCTCGGCCTAACCTACCTCACAAGGTAGTTGTAAGGATAAAATGGGGAAGAAAACGACCACCTTGAGCTCCTTGGAAGATAAAGATGGTTTATAAATGTAATAAACAGAACTTTGTTTTCTGCCTTTTCTTATATATAAAACAAAACGGGGGAAAGTATTTTTTTAAAATAATAAAAATGTGTACCTTTGGACATCACGGCAAATTGTAGCTAGAGGAAAGGCAGACATATAGGTAGGTGACACGCTGTTCTTCTGAATGTTACTGGAAGGCAAAAGTGTGGCAGCGACGACTTGGGTGCAATTTGTAGGTTGATTCTTCAACATCAGCTTTGTTGGACTAGTCATGTTGTGCAGATTCCTGATTATCGTCTTCCAAAGCAACTACTCTATTCCGAACTTAAAAATTGAAAGCGTAATGCTGGTGGTCAACAAAAGAGGTTTAAAAACTCTCTCAAGGCAAATCTAAAAAAGTAGTATAAATACTGACAGCTGGGACACACTGGCCTGCAAGTGCTCCAATTGGAGAGCAGCCTTTACCAAAGGTGTCATGGGCTGAAGGACACCTGAAGGAGCGTCTCCACCCCCATTGTTCTGCCCAGACACTGAGGTCCAGCACCGAGGGCCTTCTGGCAGTTCCCTCACTGCGAGAAGCCAAGTTAAAGGAAACCAGGCAGAGGACCTTCCCGGTCGTGGCGCCCGCCCTGTGGAACACCCTCCCACCAGATGTCAAAGAGAAAAACAACTACCAGACTTTTAGAAGACGTCTGAAGGCAGTCCTGTTTAGGGAAGATTTTAATGTTTAACAGACTATTGCACAGTGGTACCTCGGGTTACAGATGCTTCAGGTTACAGACTCTGCTAACCCAGAAATAGTACCTCGGGTTAAGAACTTTGCTTCAGGATGAGAACAGAAATTGCACGGCGGCAGCCGGAGGCCCCATTAGCTAAAGTGGTACCTCAGGTTAAGAACAGACCTCCGGAACTAATTGAGTTCTAAACCCGAGGTACCACTGTATTTTAATATTTTGTTGGAAGCCGCCCAAAGTGGCTAGGGAAATCTAGCCAGATGGGTGGGGTATAAATAATAAATTATTGTTGTTATGGGCTTTGAAGACACTTAAACTCGGGACGCAAGGGAGAAACGTGCTAAGAGGAAGGCATGCTTGGCAAACCCTCACCGTGACCAACTCCCACCCAGAAACCTATGTCCCCACTGTGGAAGGATGTGTGGATCCAGAATTGGCCTCCAGTCACTTATGGACTCACTGTTAAAACTGTGTTTATGGAAGACAATCTTACTCGGCTATGAGTGATCGCCAAAGAAGAAGCAATCATTAGGTACTTTTAGGCTGCATTGAATGGGTACAATGTGTCACACACACCCCTGCTCGTGATAGTATATTCCTTCACTCATTTCAAAATGGGGCAAGGCAGCCCTGCTCTGTTTGGGGGCTTTCCTGTCCATTCTTCTGGGTGGGGCCCCAGACCTCTGCCTTGAAAGTCCTGCCCTGCTGATTCCAGGAGGGTTGATTCACAGCCTTTGAGATCTTGAGCTGGGAAGGGATGGGGTGCTTTTGTGCCTGGGACTAGCCTGCCGTGGGGAAATTCAATTTCCATAGAACTGAATGACTTTTTATTTCCTTCGTCATAACTGGGGATAGTGGAGGGGAAAACCTGCAAAGCTAGATTTCCATGTAATCTTGGAAACTACCCTCTCAGTTACAATGATGCTTTAATGATGCATATTTTAAAACTAGATTGTCTTAGGCAGAAATCTTTGAGATGGGGTGGTGATCAGTTGGGAAGCAGAAAGAATTTGGAATTGGTTTGCATTTAAAGGTGATCCTTGCCTTATTTGCCCTTCCTGAAACAAACTGAAACACAGCAGTTCCTTCAGATTTGCACGTCTCTGAATTATGCATGCAGCGTTCCAGCCACGTGCTGTGCACAAGAATGCACTTATTAGTGTAAAATTTGCATAAAAATATATGCACAAGAATGCAAGTGTTAGTGGAGAACAACATGCAAAAACAAAGGGGCTTGCCTTCACTGAAGGCTTTTAAGCAGAGGTTGCATGGCCACCTGCCATGGTTGAGCCCCTGGTCTACTGTGCACTGAGCTGCGCAAGAGGTGCGACGGTGTTGAAGGGGTGCATTTTCATTTTCTGCCTCCAGCCTTCCTCCTTGTGCTACCTTCGGAGCTTGCAAAGGCCCCCTGCCCTAGATAGAAGTGAGCTCTGGCCGAGCTCCAGGCTTGTCGGCAAGGCGCTGAGTCACGCTGGCCTCTCTTCCAGTCGCTCCTCGTTCTGAGAATCTCTCCCCTTGCAGGAAGAGTTGAGTGTGCAGCCCGCTTTCGTTCTGCAAGGCCAGCCACGCTGTTGCTGGCAGACGGGGTCTCGGGGCACCACATATTTCAGAGCTGACCTGCTAAAGCACAAGAATGTGGACAGTCGGTGCCAAAAAATAATAATGTAAAAAGCCAGTGGGAAGCAAGAGCTACGGTGTTGCTGGAACTGTACCTCTTTAGATTGCAAGGGGGAGAGCTGCACATCTGAATGTTCCCACCCCTGTCAAACTCCTCGCATGCAGTCTTAGAAACTCAGATACATAAGCTAGGCGCCAAAAGGCTCTTTAAACCAAGGTTGCAGTCGCCAAAACGGAATGTCTAGTTGCAAGGCGGCTGCAAAGTCTTTATTTTTCAAATAATGGACGGATTGTGATTGATTCTCAGTTAAACCTCTGGCTAGTTCAGATGACTACCTTGAGCTAGGTTAAGGGGACGCAGGTGGCGCTGTGGGTTAAACCACAGAGCCTAGGACTTGCTGATCAGAAGGTCGGCGGTTCGAATCCCCACGATGGGGTCAGCTCCCATTGCTCAGTCCGAGCTCCTGCCAACCTAGCAGTTCGAAAGCACGTCAAAGCGCAAGTAGATAAATAGGTACCGCTCCGGCGGGAAGGTAAACGGTGTTTCCGTGCGCTGCTCTGGTTCGCCAGAAGCGGCTTAGTCATGCTGGCCACATGACCCAGAAGCTGTACGCCGGCTCCCTCGGCCAATAAAGTGAGATGAGCGCCGCAACCCGAGTCGGCCACGACTGGACCTAGTGGTCAGGGGTCCTTTACCTTTACCTTTAATTTAGAACACTGCCTGCATGCGGAAAGACAGTACGCTGGGACTTCGCTGTGTGATATGCAGATGCAAATTTATTTTGTGATATGCAGATGCAAATTTATTTTGCTCGTAGGAACTTAGGAAGCTGCCTGGTAGCAGACCATTGGCCTATATGGCTTGCCAGCGTCTGCTCTGGCTGATGGCAGCTCTCCAGGGTTTCAGACATAGGCCTCACCTTGCCTTGCCTGGAGATGTCTGGGATCAAACATTAGGACATTGTTCTGCATGCAAGGCTGATGCTCCACCTCTGAGCTGCATCGCTTTTGATGTTTCCCTTCCATTAGAACGGACTGAAGTTAATTATGTAACAGCATAATTAATCCTTGGGTTTCTAAAGAAATTAATAAAATCAGTTAGTTTATAGGAGAGTTTTAATAGTTTGGAAGCTGGGTCTGCCCATTTTGTCTCATTCGCGCCTCACTACCATTGCTTAAGAAGAGTAAATGGATTGCACCAAGGTCCCACTGGTAAAGAACAGGTTCTTTACAAGTGAGCAACGCTAACGGACAAACTGTGTGAAAAGGACAATGGTGATTTTGAAAAAGAATGGGAACCCTTTACAGTATATTTGCAGAAACAACAAAAAAATATGGACTCGTTGGCAGGATTTAAATAAACATTTACAATTTGATTTACAGAGAGCAAGAAGTATAACATAGTATTATATACAAACAGCAGAATGTATCATTTGATGTAACAAACTAGAAATGGAAGCTGAGGGACGTCAACAGGGAGGGGGGAAATTGGAAAATGAATGTTTAGTAAGGATGTTGGATATTTGACATGTGAAAAGAAAATCTGTAAAAATTATTAAACAAAAAAAAGAACATACTGAGTTTCTTTGTATTTACAAGGATGGCATCAGATTCTAACCTACACAGTGCAGCTAGTTTTTCATGGTTGTCTCATGCAGGAGGGAGAGGGGGAGAGAGAGTGCGCACTCAACCCTGTTACACTCAACCCTGCCCTCTACTGAGTGAAGGCATGCAAAGCTGCATATACCCAATGTTAATTATGTTGCTTTTGGAGGAAGCCGAACTGCAGCCGAAGGGAAACAGCACTGATTGTGACAAATGCAGAGGATGGAAAGCCTTGCCTCCTCACATTCCTTCTCCCTGCAGGCTGAAAAATACTGCATGTTGGTGGGCAGGAGGCTAATCTGAATCCTTCTTCCCAGGTGTTCAAGAATGACTTAAGCCCTGGTTTTTTTCAGTCTGGGCCCCATATCTCCATCCCCTTCTCTCCCCTCTGCAACTTTTAAAAACATAACCAAAAGAGATATAATTATTTGCTTATGGGGTTTGTGGCTGTGCTGCAAAGCAGAAAGCTTGTACATCTTAATTTGCTGTGATTGGATTTTAAATTAGCATCTATTCGTATACATTAGCATATGTAAATTTGTGTCTTGGGCCTGCCTCTTGGCCACACCCCTGCTTCTGCCTGTGATGCGTCTTTTTCTTGTATCTGAGAGAGCATGCCATGAGTGTGCAATTCCTTTCCACACAACTACTGTCTGTCTCAAAAACCCTCCTCTTTACTGGTTCTCCATACCTCCAAGGCTCAATTGCTGCTTCCCACCCAGCCCCTTCCTGGTTTCTCTTCCTCTAGCTGGTGAATCTGCTGTGCCCACGGCCTTGCAAGCCCGCTGGATCGCGGGTTTAGTGCCAGGTCAGCTCATGTGCCTGAGTCTTGCATGAGCTGGAATTTTTTTGCTGAGTTGGATGAAAAAAAAAAGTCTCCCCCGCCCCTTTTCTCTAGGGGCTTATGAGATCACAGTTCTAAAATCCAATCAGCAGAAATGGTTCGAGGGAGCCAGCCTTGCGGGGAAGGTTGCTATCCACTTCTTAGGCTTTCTGCAGAGCAAACCTCAGCGCGCCTCTCTGTATATGGAGATCTGTGCCGCTGCAGCCCATCTGGGTCCCATTATAGAGGGGCTGAAGAGGCACAGCCTCATAATGCAAGAATTTTGCGGTTAACTCAGCCACCACAGTCCTCCTCCCCACCCCCTTTCCCCACAAGTCTCACTCAACGTATATGGTTTAACTTAACGTAATGTAATTGGGGCATTTTTTGGTGATGACGAAACTCTCTGCTCGTTTGAAGGTAAAGCAATTGGGTGCCCTATTGTTTCCTAGACTGACTCACTTCGGAATGATAGTTAGGAGGGGGCAGAGAGAGAGAGAGAGAAAGAGAGATGAACAAGTTTCTCCAGCCGCACTGAAACTTCGATTTCTCTTTGATCAGGTAACGATGACCAGTATTCCTACCAGCCCTTGGGAAGCAATAAGACAGTGTGCGTTCTATTCCATTATGTTGTTACTATTGCATTTGTGTTCCGTCTTTCCCATAAAGAACTCAAGGTGGCACGCCTGATTCTGCCCATTTCATCACCACAACAACCCTGTGAGGTTGGTGAATCTGTCAAATTTGGTTTCTCGTTTTCCCTAAGTTCAGTTCTCCACATTAAGTGATTTTTTAAAAAAAAGGCCTAATGAAAATTCACCAGTGTTTGTCTCAAATTTATCCAGATACATACATTTACGTATGCAAGCTTGTCATATATATAATATACATGCATGCATGCAATTTCCCTTAATACAGTGGATGGAGCTTGCAGCTGGTGAGTCAAAAATGGGGTCCAATGCGGCCTGCCAGGCCATTCCCCAACCATGGTGACATCAGCCTATGGGTGGGAGGACGGGGTTTAATTCTGCGTTGACTGTACCCCCCACCCCAATACAGAAATGTATTGGGGGTGGGGGGGTTTATGTTATGTTGTAAATAAAATTTCCAATAAAATTTATTTTAAAATTTAAAAAATTAAAAATAATTCTGCGTTTACTGCATTCTGTTCCCAGCAGCTAACAGAAATGCTCGACTTGGTCAGCAGGATTTATATACTGTATGTATTTATTAAATTTCTACATCACAGGGTGGTGTACAATATAAAAATGCAAAAATACATCACATAGTAACAAGCAAAACAACACCCCTTCCCGATGTTCGAAATTAGCCAGGCGCCAGGTGCGTTTTTTGACTGGTGCTGGTCCAATTGTAAGCACATGGAGATCTCTGGGATGCCAGGTTGGCGGCCGACATCTCCGTCTGGCTGGCTGTTTCCAGCTTTCTTACACAGTTAAACAAGAAGAGCTTATTGTATTTATATCCCACCTTTTCCTCCAAGGAGTGCAGGGTTCACTGCCATTTGGCAATGAGCTTATATACCTGAGTTTCTAACACTGCTCCCTCCGTAATTTAAAAGGCCATAAATCAGGCTTCTTCAACCTCTTCCCCCCCCAGATGTTTTGAGACTACAATTCCCAGCATCCCTGACCACTGTTCCTGCTAGCTAGGGATCATGGGAGTTGTAGGCCAAAAACACCTGGAGGGCCGAGGTTGAGGAAGCCTGCCATAGATTGTTTAATTACTACATTTTTCGCTCTATAAGACACACTTTCCCCCTCCTTAAAAATAAGGGGAAATGTGTGTGCGTCTTATGGAGCGAATGCAAGCTGTGCAGGTATCCCAGAAGCCAGAACAGCAAGAGGGATCACTGCATGTGGTTCTGTCCCTTCCCCCACCTCCCGGAAAAGCCCCCAAGAGCCGTGCTCCCTTTAAAGAGCCGTGCAGAGTGTGTGTGTGGCTCTTGGGGGCTTGTCCCCTGAGGAGGGAGAAGGGCAGCCCGTCAGTGATGGGGCTGCCCTTCTCCCTCCTGGGGAAAAGCCTGCAAGCGCCGCACACATGCTCCACGTGGCTTGTGAAAGGGAGCGCTGAGCAGAGCCTGGGATGCATACAGACTCTGTTCAGCGCTCCCTTTAAAGAATATATTTTTTCTTGCATTCCCCCTCTTAAAAACTAGGTGCGTCTGATGGTCAGGTGCGTCTTATGGAGCAAAAAATACAGTAAGCAAAGGCCTGGGAAAAGAGGAATGTTTTCGCCTGGTGCCTAAAGATATGTAATGAAAGGGGCCGAGCGAGCGTCCCTGGGGAGAACATTCCACAAATGGGGAGCCACAGTAGAAAAGCCCTGTTCTTGTATTGCTGCTATCTGGACTGCTCATGAATGGGGCAAATGAAGAAGGACCTCGGGTGATGATTGCAGGATCTGCGTCAGTTCATATGCGCTTGCTCGAGCTTTATAATCAGCATTTGAGGCTCTGTAATCTACTGGTGAAAGCTGTGTGATTAGTGAGTACCAAGGACAGAGCCTCTTTTACGGCGACTCCACATTTTCTTTGGAAGAATGTCTGGCCTCCCTTTTTGCATGTGGTTAGTTTCAATGCCCGGTGCTTTTCAACAGAGGTTTTCTCTGCTGCCGCCACCTTAGCTATTTATTTATGGTTTGTTTATTCATTCTGCTTTTACAAGTATGCTGTAATCTGCTTTACGAGGGGCTAGTTACCCCCAAAAGCGAGCTGGGAATCTATTTAGTACCATGTCAGGGATTGAGTGTTCGAATCTGTCCTTAAAGGAGTAGATGCATTTGGGAATCGTACTAAGTATATGGTGTCTAGCAGCTTAGTTAATAATAATCAGGACTGGACCTCTGCCACCTTTAATAGCTGGGCAGAAGAGGGAGGTTTATCCGTCTTGGGAGCAAACATCGTCTCCCCTCACCCTTCCTAAAACTCAGCTGCAGAGAGGTCCCAGTTTTGATTGAGACTTTGGTGTAGAGGAAGGGATCTAACTTTTGCAACCATGCTGTAGCGCTTACTTAAAATCTCTCTTACCCCACCCCGCACTGAGCAAAGAGGTACATTATTAAATCATCATTAGCCCCTCCAGACAGTTTTTTTTATTTGCAGTATTGATGCAATAATCGTACATTTGTGGCGGATGGTGCATCAGTTCGATAACAGTGCACAAATGCTCCTCCTAGCACAGATCTTGCACCGAGTCGTGTTTCACTCCCGTGCCTGCCTGCCTAACTTCAAACAAGTCCATCCAATCTCTTCTCTTTCTGCCTCCCTCCCGGCTGCCCTCCTTCCCCCTCCCCGGGAAAAAATCAAAACCCCCGCAAGCGCACTGGCATAGGGTTACCGATTCCACTCTCCTCCTGACAGCTGGCTTGCTCATGTTCCAAAAGAGGATCTCTTGTTTCGCTCCTGACGCAGGTTGCTGTGAAGGAGGCCGGGCTTGGCAGTTTGGCGTCAACTGGATAGGTGAGAGCTGTCACCAGGAGGCACCCTCTCCCGAAGAAGTTCCATAGCTACCCAGCTACAGTGGAACACAAACAAAACCTTTTCACCGGTGCTATTATTATATTACTGTTATTATTTGGTTTATTTTAAAAACCACACACGAGGTAGCCTTTGTTTCCGTCGTCGGCTTCCCCTTCCATATCTTGGAGAGATGCACGGTGCTTCTTAAGCCAAATGCAGGGAGTTTGCAGGCCTGTGTAAGTTGAGGTTCCTGCATTGCAGCGGGGTTGGACTAGATGACCCTTAGGGAGCCCTCCAATTCTGCAATTCCATGATTCTATGTTTGCCAAGGGCACACACACACACACACACACACACACACAGAGCCTTGCAAGGGGCTGAAATGTGGGTTGCCAGTGTGGCACTTGTGGGCACACATCTGCCCACAAACGTTTGCCTTCGTGCCCACAGGGTTCCATTATCTCGGCCCACCCCCATCCCTGCTGAAATTGTGCTTGAAAGAGGCCGCCTTTAGCCAATAAAAGACTCATTTTAAAAGCCCAACCAGGGGCAATTTCAGGGATGCCACAGATGGGGAGAAAGGGGTTTTGGCCTGCAGCCCCTCCTCTGGTTTGCAAATGTACCCACGGGCCCTGAAAGGATGATGGCGCCCTATGGACATAAACTTGTAGGCCAGACCTGCTTTGGGTGTGTCCCCATTGGAGTTCTGAAACCCGGGTTTGTCCATGTAATGTGCGAAATCACACAAGGGTTGCCAAGTCTCGGAGTGTCTCCAGTGTTAGTCTTACCCAGAGAAGACCCATTGAAATTAATGCACGTGATCTATCGATTTCAGTGGGCCCAGTCTAAGTAAAACTTAATTGGATGCCACCCTTTGTATTTGATCTGAAGTTTCAGGGCAGGAAGGAATATCTGAGCGGAAGGTGCTAGAATTCGTGTCTAGCTACCTTCTGTTGACCAATTTCTCACTCTTGGCTCCACCCCATGTCCAATAGGCTCCGCCTACTGTTACTGTTACTGGGGATGTGGGTGGCGCTGTAGGTTAAACCACAGAGCCTAGGACTTGCCGATCAGAAGGTTGGTGGTTCGAATCCCCGTGACGGGGTGAGCTCCCGTTGCTCGGTCCCTGCTCCTGCCAACCTAGCAGTTCGAAAGCACGTCAAAGTGCAAGTAGATAAATAGGTACTGCTCTGGTGGGAAGGTAAATGGCATTTCCGTGCGCTGCTCTGGTTCGCCAGAAGCGGCTTAGTCATGCTGGCCACATGACCCGGAAGCTGTACGCCGGCTCCCTCAGCCAATAAAGTGAGATGAGCGCCGCAACCCCAGAGTCAGCCGCGACTGGACCTAATGGTCAGGGGTCCCTTTACCCTTTACCTTACTGTTACTCAAAATATTTGGGAGAACTGTTTTAGAGAGACAAAGTGTGATTGTCGTCTCGTGTATGCCTGTGTTGCAGCTGACCACCATCTTTGAAGGGAAAAATCCCCTTTTCTCATATCCAGGAAGGAATGACTGTTTCAAATCTATTTATCATAAAGGTATCTGCTATCCACATTTTTATTAACCCCCCCATTCGTATTACAAGCAATTTGGCATTTATCTGTTGGCTTAAGCTAAAAACAAGGGTCATCGAGGTCACTCCTGACCTAAAAATAAAAATCAGATTCTGTCTTTGTGCACAGAGAGGAACATTTCTAGGAAAGTGGGCAGTTTTCCGGCCGAGAAACAACAGCACATTACTCACAAACGCCCCCACCCTAAACCTGATCTGTCCCCTAAAGTATTATTCCTCTGAAGTAACTATCTCCTCTGAAGTCGACTTTCAGGTAACTCTTCCACCTGCCTACAGTTCTTAGTAGATGCTTCTGCTGTTTCATAACTCATTTATTTCATAAGAATTATATGCCACCTGATTGTTAAAAACAACAACAAGGAAGCCTCAAAGAAGTTTTTAGAATACTAGAATTCAACAACGGCAAGGTTTTTAGAAACAGTACTCAATATTATAGCTAGATAATAAAATGTTATAATTAACAACAATGTGTTTTTATTATGTCATTAGCTGCTTGGGGACTTTTTGTGCAACCAGAGTTGCCTCGGGGCAAGAAAAAGCCACAAAAAAATTGAATTTATAGTAAGTGGGATAGCTCAGTCTGTAGAGCATGAGACTCTTAATTTTAGGGTTGTGGGTTTGAGCCCCACTTTGGGCAAAAAAATCCTGCATTTCAGGGGGTTAGGCCAGATGATTCCCCGGGGTCCCTTCCAACTCTATGATCTTATGATTTCCTTTTTTCCCATTTTTTTTAAATTTTCCACATTTATAACAGAAATAACATACACAACACACAAAACAAAACACATTTACAATACTGAAGAAAAAAAGAAAATAAAAACACTTATTACTTCTAAGACCTAATTTAACTTTCATTGTCAAGTGACTTCCTCAAATCCCCCCTAAGTGAATTTCATTGTATCACCTTGTAACAGTTCTCCAAAATCATATTTCTAATAAAATTAACTAAAATTTCCTAAGCCTACTTTGGGTTGCACCTTGGTTTGATTCAGTTACAATTCTGTACATGAATGGGGCTTGCCTTTCCGTGAGCCACCAGACAGGGAGCGAAATATTGGGGTGCTGGCATGGGCGTAGCCAGGATTTATCTTGTGGGGGGGCAGGTAGCCAGGATTGGGGGGTGGGAGGGGCAGGACACCCACCTGTCATCATACTCAGCAGATTCGGAAGGAAATGTCTTCACAACAGTTCTTTTACTTTTCTTTTGACCCCCAAGTGCTTCGAAAAATCTGTCCATCTTTCTACAGTGAAGAGCTTTCCCCCTGCCGTAAAAAAATGTTTAGGGGTGCATACTCTCATTTTCCTATTCCTTTTGAAATACTGCCCCTCAATGAGACCAAACTTTAGATTCGCAAAATGTTTAGGTGCATGCGTCCCTCAGGAAAAAATAAAAAGCACCGCTACAGTGTATACTTGTGGTTAAGTATTTTTATTTATTTGCTTGATTGGGAGGGAGGGAGGGGCGGCAGCTGCCCATGGGGGCCGCTCGCCCCCTTTCCGCGTTTGCAGAGAAAGGGTCCCCGGTTCGAATCCTGCGCTGGGGTTTCCAATGCAAAAAGTCTGGCTTGGGCTGCTGGATCAATCTCCTTTTTGGGCGAGCGGCAGTAGCAGGAGGAGGAGGCTGCAATGAGCAGCCTCCGTGGCCCGTCCCAGAGCTGCCGTCTCCCTTCCGCCCCGATTCCCGGGAGCCGGGGCTTTTCCTCGCCCGCCCCCCGCGGGCAGCCTGGCCGCTGCCTCCCCGAGTTGGCGGCCTTCCAGTTTCCTGTTTGACGTCACGGGCCTCTCTCTTTCTCTCCTCTCTCCTGCCGCTGCTGCTGCTCTTTTTTGCAACTTGCGCTGCGTTCCGCTTGTAATCCGAGAAGCCCCCGGAACGGGGCAACCTCAGCTGCCGCCTGGAGAGATCGCGCTGCGCTTTACTACCGCCGGGAGTTGGTTCTCCCTCCTCCCTGCTGCCTCTCTCGCGGGGTCTCTTTTTTTAGCCTGCGGGAGGAAAAGGAAAAAAAATAAAAATTCGGATTGCTTTGACTCTGTGCAAACCTTTCCTCCCTCCACTCGCCTCCTTGCTGCGGGTTTTCTGCACGCCGAGAGCACGAAGGAAGAGTGTTTTATTTTTTTTAAGGGAGCAGGAGGCGAAAAGAAGCAATTGGCGGATAAAGGTTCTAGTCCGCAAGAACTTGGGAGCATGCACCCGTGCTTTTCCGACTAGCCGCCGCTTCTTGCAGCCGACCCGGGGTTGCTTTTCTGCAGGGCGCAAAATCGCCCCTCCGAGGCGTGCCGTTCGCTGTTCTTTCACTTCTGGGAAACCAACATGGACAGAAAACAAGGTAGATGTGTTGCAACTGTCGGAAAAAGGGTGGCGGAAGGCTTAAGAGAGGTCGATTGCAATGCAGCTCGTGCTGCTCCCAAGGCGCCTTTAAATGCCCTGCGTGCAATTGCTAATTTTAATTTTTTTATTTTGCAAAGGAGGGTCTGTGCTCGGCGGAGAGTCGCAGGAAACTTGCATGCTTTTGCGGGGAGGTGCCGGGAACAGCCGGAGGAAGGGATTTGCAATGTGGGGGCTGGGGCGGCTGTAATGTCAGCCTGGTTCAATCATGAGCGTGCAAAAAAAAAAAAAAAAAGTTTTGCAGGGGGGTAGAGTTGGGTGGTGCATTTTGTGTGTGTGGGTCTGCGCGGAAATGCTTCCCCGTTGCACAACTTTACCCCCCCCCCCAGCGCCGGGTTATTGTTCTGCAGAGCACTTTAACGTTGCATGCTGCCTTGCAAGCCCCCCCCGCTCCCTTTTCCAAGTTCTGATTTTAGCTTTGGCAGTTGACAGGTAACACTCTCTGGGGTTGCCTCTGCAGCTGCTGCTGCTGAGTTTTTACCTCTCTCCCCCCCCCCTTTTCCCTTCCTTTGCACAGGCCCCTGCGACTTGGAAAGGGGACTTTTCTTAGTGAGCTGCTTTTTCCTCTCTCGTCCGCCTCCCCTCCCCCACGCCCAGTTGCAACTTCTGCAAACAAAAAGGTCACTTGGCCCTTGCAGGAGAAAGCTCTCCGGGGGTCGGCGATGGGGTGATGGGCGGCAGCTAGAGGCTCACAGCCCCCCCAAGCGCTTGCAAAGCTTGCAATGTCCACAGTTGTTTTGTGTGTGTGTGAATGACAGAGAGCGTGCGTGCGCACGCACCTAAAAGCTCTCTGTTCCTAGACCAAGATGTGCTCGGTCCATTTATTTGTTCCGCAGTCTCCACTTGTTTGTGGACCATTGAGGGGGCGGTTTATAATCCTGGGGTATAAGGCGATGCACTTTGCACGTGCACAAAAGCAGGGGTTTTTTGCCTTGCCATGCATGCGTTCCCAACATGTATATATCTCTGTGTGCTCCCGTGGACCTGATGGTGCAGAAAGGCCTCTTTGGAGAGGGGTGGGAAAGAAACGCGAACTTTTGCCCCCCTCGCTCAGGACTCCGTGTACTTTCTTGCAATCTCTGCCGGATTAAGGCATGCCTTCGGAACATCTCTTGATGTCTGCGGTGGTTTCGCGTTGAGCAAGTTTCCAGTTCTCGGGGCTGGCTGAAAGAAAAGTTTGGCTGTAGAAAGGAAAAGTTTGCAGACATGCACATAATTTCTGCGGCATCTCTTTCACGGGGAGGGGCAGGGCTTAAGAGGCGGCTGGACGCGGAAAGGCACCCTGCTTCTCAGCCTATTATCCTTCCTCTTGAGGCAACATCTGTGCAGTGCGCACCAGGCAGGAATCCTTGCAAGCAGACGTAAGAATATGCAACCAGCTTGCTTGGATCAGTTTCAGTGGCTCCTCTAAGTCCAGCATCCTGTTCTCACAGTGGCCGGCCAGAAAACCACAAGCAGGATTTGAGCCCCAGAGCGCTCTTCCCTCGCGTGGTTTCCGGCAACTGATATTCAGAAGTATTGCTGCTTCCGAGACCCACTGCTGCTTCCAGAGACAGAGTGTAGCCTAGGGGTCAGCAAACTTTTTCAGCAGGGGGCCGGTCCACTGTCCCTCAGACCTTGTAGGGGGCCGGACTCTATTTTTTTGGGGGGGAAAGGAACGAATTCCTATGCCCCACAAATAACACAGAGATGCATTTTAAATAAAAGGACACATTCTACTTGTGTAAAAACACGCTGATTCCTGGACCGTCCGCGGGCCAGATTTAGAAGGCGATTGGGCCGGATCTGGCCCCCCGGCCTTAGTTTGCCTACCCATGGTGTAGCCAGTGATCCCCCCCCCGAAAAATAGGTGCCTGTACTCGCAATGAAGTTGTTATAGTAAGTGCCACACTTTTTAACAACAACAAAAAAGAGGTTCCGGTACTGCATACCTTTAAGCATCCCCTGGAAAAAAATCCCACTGTGTATAGCCATCGTGACTTGTGTAGCCATTGATAACTTTGCCTTCCATGATTGGTTCATTCCTCTTTTCAAAGCCACCCACCTCAGTGGTTTTATATATCCTGTTGTCAACATGTGGGAAGGGCTTGCTGATTTGCCAAAGACCATCCATTCAGTTTGTGCAGAGGTGGGATTTAAGGCTTTCCAGGTCATCCCTTGTGTACTTATGCCAATGGTTATCTCACACAGAGGACAGGAAGGTTTGAGCGTATTGCACCGATCCTGGCCCAGCTGCACTTAACTTGACAATCATTTTTCAGGCCCTTTCCCCCCAAGGGAACTCCAGGAATTGTAGTTCTGCAAAGGGGCACTGGGAATCTCCTAACAACACCCAGAAAACTTAGCAAACGACAGCTCCCAGTATTCTTTGGGTGGCAAGCCATGACACTTGAAAGTGCTATGATACTGCTTTAAAAGTATAGTGCAGATGGAGGCTCGGAGGAATAAAACCATCCAAGCAGCTGAAGACATTGTATACCAAAATGTCTGGGCAAATAAAAGTTTTGTCAGCTTGGCACTTAGTGCGGTATTTGACGCCAGGTGTATCCATCTAATAGTGAACGCGGCTGGTGAGTGCCAGCAAAACGGTAGCCAAGTTGGAACAGGTCACCTGTGTGCTCAGAGGAAATTCGAGCTTTGCAGAAGTACCCCAAAACCCTTACATGTTACGAATAATAATAATAATAATAATTTATTTATACCCCGCCCATCTGGCTGGGCCTCCCCAGCCACTCTGGGCGGCTTCCAACAAAATACTAAAATACAGTAATCCATCAAACATTAAAGCTTCCCTAAACAGGGCTGCCTTCAGATGTCTTCTAAAAGTCTGGTAGTTGTTCTTCTCTTTGACATCTGGTGGGAGTGCGTTCCACAGGGCGGGCGCCACTACCGAGAAGGCCCTCTGCCTGGTTCCCTGTAAATTGGCTTCTCACAGCGAGGGAACTGCCAGAAGGCCCTCGGCGCTGGACCTCGGTGTCTGGGCAGAACGATGGGGGTGGAGTAGTTTAAGAGTTTGGAGTATTTCTGCAAACCTCCCCCCCCAAAAAAAAACCACACAATACATTATTGTCCAGTGAAGCCTGAAGATGCTCAGTGACCACAGAATGCTGAACTCTCTTGCATGAATTGGGGGGGGGGGGGCTAGAATGTGTGTTCTGGAAGAGACGCAGGCTGGCTTTGTATTTATTTATTCCATAAACTGTATATACCTCTTGATTGTTGGAGGGGGGACGGACCTCTAAACCCGGAACAGGAGTTCTTCAAACTGCAGCACATTGGTCTCTGTTTGCAGCATTACTATTACAGTATTTATTCTTCTTGTCTTCCAGGAGCACAGAGTAGCCTTCTGGGTTTTTATCCCTTAAACCCATCCTGTGATTGTGGTTAGACTGGGATAGTGTGAACAGGCCAAGATCCTCCGGGAAACCTTGGTACCTGAGTAGGGATCTCTACCCAGCTCTCCTGGATGTGCATGACTTTGGTTGATCATTTTGTGCTTCACTCTGCTCATGCGCTGAATGCACATGTGCAATTCTCTCTTGACACATGGTCTGCAAGGCAGGGAGAATTCCAAGTGAAACGCTACGTGTTGTCCGCTGTAGAATTGCTAACCCAGAATATAACAAGAGTCTCCTTCCTGGAGCTTTGATATTGTTGGAGTGATCGTCTGGAAGGCTAGCAAAAATCCAGACTTGGTACCAAACAAATCAAGGATTTAGGAGAGAGCTGGTGGTTGATGCCCTAAACATACCATTAAAAAAACCCAGCAACCCTAATCCTCCAAGTGATTTTGGATGTGTTTATGAAGGGTTTCCATTAGGGGAATTGGAGGAAGGCCTCAGGGTGAAAGAAAAGGTAATGCAATGGAAGTGAAATAATTTAAAAGCACGCCCCTTGGAAAACAATTGTTGCCTGGGTTGTTTTGGCAAGATATTGAGGATAGGTGAGTGTGCTGCTTGCTTGTCCACTAATAGGTCAAATGTCAACAATCGGCTTCTCTGTAATTCCTAAAGGTAAGCATGACACTGTGCAGAACAGCAGTTTTATCTTTTCGATTTTATTTACGGGGTTAGTTGGTCGACAAGAGTATGAGCAAGGACTGCTTGTTCTCTTTCCCCGCAACTGGTGTGGCGGCACATTCTTTAGCACAGCGCAGGTTCTCCTACTGACTATAGCGGCTGTTAGCTGCGTGTATTAGGAGGAATGTGTTTTGGCTACCCGTGCCAGCCAAAAAAATTAGAGAACCCTCCCCCCCATAAACAAAACTACACCAGAATCTGCATCTCTCTGTCTGGGCTGCACATTGCCAGTAATGAAGTGATTAAACTAGTTTCCTTGCTGCATTGTTAAAACCAGCCTGCAAGTTAGGAATCTGTTTGCAAACTAACATGCAAGCCTGTGCGAGTGAACTTTGCAAGATGCGTGGAGCAGCACAAAACACACAGTGGCCTTGAGGATTTAAGGACAGCTCTCTCTGGTCCAGTGCCCTGTTTTCACAGTGGCCAAAAAGATATCCCAATGAAAAATCCACGAATGGGGATCTGAGTTGCAGCTTCGCTCTTCTGGGACTTGGCGATTTCCAGCAGCTGCAGTTCGGAGGCAGACTCCCTCCAAAATGTAGAGGTAGAGCATATAGCCTTAGCTTTGGTCCATTTGTCTAATACTGTATAAGAGCATCAGAATATAAGAAGAGGCTGCCATATCAGGCAGAAGCCTCGCCTAATCCAGCTTCCTGCTCTCGCAGTGGCTAAGCAGATGTTTCTGGGAAGATCGCAAGCAGGACTTTTGGGTGCAACAGCCGTCTCTTCGCTTGCAGCTGGTATACAGAGTCTTGCCGCTTCTTGCCTGTAGCACCTGAAAGCACATTAGGCAGAAAGATGGCTCCTAAGCTGTATGCATTCTCCTTGGTTAGATGAGTGAGCGGTCCTGTTATCCTCGTACTTTACAGAACCCTTCCCTGCAAACTGGCATTTAGTTAATGTGCAATTCCTGCTTGGGGGGGGGGATTTTTAGACCAGCTGGAATTTTCTTTCCTTGTCTCTCCGTTTTGGTTTGTCATCCTCCTGCTTGCTCAGACAAGTATTCGGAGAAGTGTCAGCTGAGTGTAAATCTCCTTGTGCTATTTATAGCTTTTCTTTGCCCTGTGTGTGTTTGTGCGGTGATGAAGAGGTATACAAGAGGTGGAGGGAACTGCGCTGCAGCCTTAGCAAAAGAGGCAACCCTGAAACTGTAGCCGCAGCAAACGTTGACAAGGCCTCCAAAACAGAAAGGCGGAATTTCCAGCAGAGCTTGTTGGGTTAGGAACAGGTCACCAAATGTGCATATTTTCATGCATGCTCCTGGCTTGAGGTGTTCCAGGAAGCTGGTGCGTCAGAAGGGTGGAGATTGCAATGCAACGTGAGGTTGCAACCCATCCTTTAATCTCGGAGGTGTTGCAATGGTGTCGCTAAGGAAATAAAAATGTTAACAAGGGCACAGGCACTGAGGCGGTGGGTTTGAAGATGCTTTTCTCGTTGCTGCAAACTGCAGCCTGAAGATCTGTGGAGGGGTGGGGTTGTTGTCCAACCTGCACCCTACAGCATGGGTAGGCAAACTAAAGCCCGGGGGCCGGATCCGGCCCAATCGCCTTCTAAATCTGGCCCATGGATGGTCCAGGAACCAGCGTATTTTTACAAGAGTAGAATGTGTCCTTTTATTTAAAATGCATCTCTGAGTTACTTGTGGGGCATAGGAATTCGTTCATTTTCTCCCCCCCCCCAAATATAGCCCAGCCCCCCAAAAGGTCTGAGGGACAGTGGACTGGCCCCCTGCTGAAAAGGTTTGCTGACCCCTGTCCTACACAGTGATTATTCTAATGTAGGCCCCCTCCAGATGTGTGGGGTCTTTTTGCAAGCATTTTCTGCAACTTTTCAGAGATGTAATGATAGTGCTTTGGTGGTGGATATATATTGGACTGATATATTGGACCGTCCATGCAGTATCATTCTGCTTTATTTTTTCTGTGATGCTTCCCCAGTCTTAATGCATTATTATCATCTAGAGGGACAACCCTCCAAAAACAGTGGTATTAAAAAGATGCCGTATTTTGGTAGGAAGATACAGGGAATGAATTAGTTGGAAACAAAGCAGTAGGTTCAATCCCCAAACACTGCAGGCACAAACAGTATTGAAAGAGGAATTGCGTATAACTGCCCTGGTTTCATCTTTTATCATTTAAATTTATATAGTATTTAAATATAGCTTCCCACCCCCCAAAAAACCCCATGCGTCTTTTAGATTTTTTAAATACTGGTTTTAATGTATGTATGTGCTTGTTTTTTGCTTAACAATTAAAATATTGTAAGTCGCTTTGAGTTGCTGTGGCAAAAGATGCAACTAATAATTTTATTTTTTTTAAAAATAGTTTTTCTTTGGTTTTACAAATATAGAATTATAACAGTACAATACAAAATACATATCCGTGGGGTCCTATTGTCATCCTTTTTATTGCGTATTCCATGTTATATGTCTCCCATTTTGACCGTAATATTTGCTACATTACAAGTGTTACTGCAATCCTTCTAGTGTTTTCATCTGTTTACAGTGGTCCCTTAGATAAGATGCAACTAACAAAATAAATGAATAATAATAATAATAATCTGGAACTAGACTCTGTATCCTTGAAGAAGTAGGATTTGCTAGCGACATCGTACTAGCACCCCTGATTGTGGAGGAAAGGGGGCAAAGTTTGGATCTAAGAATCTGGCCACCTATGGGAGACCTCTCCACTGATAGCTGTGCCCGTCTACCGATGAGCAGAACTCCCTCCCTTGTGTGTCACACTCTCTCCGTAGAAGTTGTGGTCTGCAGTTTGTGGACACGGCGTTCCAGCTTCCTGATCCACCCCAGATTTCACTTTGGGGTGGGGGGAGCAAGTCTCTAGGCCTCAAGGATCCGAGGATGTGCTTGAAAGTGAATGGGGGCGATGGCTGCCAGAATCCCAGGGAGACATCTGAGTAAGAACTTCTGGGTGGCAGGACTTCAGAAGCTGGCGCTGCTTCTCATTTAACAGTTTGGGAAAGCAGAGGAGCAAAAATAGCAGACTGCTGCAGAAGTTCCTCAAGGAAAATAAGCCAATTGGCCTAATTTTATGCTGATTGTAGAATTTTGGGTTTCCTTCATGCAGGGTTTTGGATTGCCTAGCCTAGAAATACACTCCCCCCCTTCTCTCATTAGTATGGGGTCTCTCAGTGTTAGAAACTAGGATATATAAACTAGGCAGCAAATGGCTCCTTTAAACTGGGATTACAGTCGCCAAAACCGAATGTCTTAGATGCCATTTGGGCTCAAAAGTTCTATTTTTCAGTAACACTACTTTTGGGTTCCTGAATTTCGTTCCAATGGTGCAGATAAAATATCATGGGTTGAATTCTACAGGATTTGCTGTTAGTTTCTGAAAACAGGCAAGATCCAAACGTCAGGTGACATTTTGGCACCTGGGCATCTTCACTTGGTTGCAAGTGGTGGATAATTGCCAGGTGTAAAATGCGCTTGGTAAATGTTGAACAATTCTCTCTCGGGACCTTTCTTGTTGCCTGTCCCAAATTTCTACCCCTTTGCCTCCTGCAGCATTCTAAATTCTGCAGAAGTCCCCACGATCAGAGTTCACTAGTAAACTGTTACTAGATGGGCATTTTAAAAAAATAAATAAATTGGCGTCTAGTCAGAGGGCAAGATTAAGGGTTTTTACCTGCTTGCTGGAAAGCCGCAGCGGGGAACATACACCCCCTCAGCTATGAAAAGATTTACAGCGCCTGACACTAGGCAGACCAGCCTTGTTGCAGTCAGTCATTTTATGGGTGACGAAGGGACGGTTCACACAGTAATTGAGTCTACGGCCGAGCCCTTGGCAGGTTTCTCTCCCCCACCCCCAAACGCCTTAGCCAACCCCTCACTAACCTACATTTTAAAATCTTCCTGAATTTGGGAAGTGGGTAGTAACATGGATGGGGAACTTTTCATGGTGGGGAGGAAGAGAAATCAGAGTATTGGAAAGCTTTTCATTTTCTAAAAGACATTATTAATAGCTGCAATACCAGTCAAACATCAGGCAGTTTTAGAGTTGCAATTAATTCAAGTGTGTGTGTGTGTGTGTGTGTGTGTGTGTGTATGGGTGCACCGCTTTTGGGGTGTGCTAAAATTTACAAATGCTAATGTTTACCCCCTCCTTGTTCCCTCCTTAAAACATCTGAAAACTCAAAGTTTAGAGATAAAAACAGAAGAATACCCGGAAGTATTTCAAGGCATTGGCCTATATAGTTTTCTTACCTTAAACAATGTAAGGAAACTACAGGCCATGCCTTGAAATACTTCCAGGTATTCTTATTTATTTATTTATTCGTAAATAATATTCACCTGAGTTTTCATATGTCTTAAGAACACAATGCTATTTTGCCTCAAATACTATACTGCCAGGTATTCGGAGAAAATTACTTACCAGGTAAAGCTTTGCATTATTATTATTATTATTATTATTAAAATGTAACATTAAATGTGCTTAATGGGTTTTCCCTCACCACCCATCAAATATTTTAATTCATATCTGTTTGCCTTTTGGGGTCTAGGTTACACACTCGGTTTAGGGCAAAGGAACATTTTCCGCGTTCCATTATTTTTTGCATGAAGCCACATCTCTTGGGGAGAAATTTGCACAAGACCGTGGGGAGGGGCATGTGGAGCCTCTGCCCCTCCCTGCCAGCTTGCAACTAGGTCTCAGGGACAGGGACGGTAAACGGGAAAGACAGACGGGGCCTTTGCATGCTTCAGCTCTGCTTTTCAGGTCTTGTGAGCTGACTGCATCTTCTCTCAACATGAGAGATCTCAGGCTTCCTCTGAACTTTGGGGCTGGAGAAAGGTCAGGAGCTGCAGGTTGTCAAAACGGACTCCTCACACCCAAGTAGCTGGTTCCAGGTTTTCCAGGTTTGGGGAGCAAGTGAGCCCCAGCTTTGAAAAGGGTGTCAGCTAGAACAGGCCTCCCCATGCATGCTTTGGCTGTCCGTTTGCAACGGGAAGCAGGGTACAGTGGTACCTCAGTTTAAGAACAGTCCTATTTAAGAACAATTTGGTTTACAAACTCCGCAAAACCAGAAACAGTTTGAGAACTTTACTTTGGTCTAAGAACGGAATCCAGACAGTGGAAGTGCACCGGCGGTGGGAGGCCTCATTAGGGAAAGGGTGCCTTGGTTTAAGAACGGTTTCAGTTTAAGAATGGACTTCCGGAACGGATTAAGTTTGTAAACCGAGGTACCACTCTGTCTGTCTGTCTATCTATCTATCTATCTATCTATCTCTATATCCCAACTCTTTTTGGCCCCATCTTTGTTGAACATTTAAAGCACTATACAGTCGTTCCTTGGATCCTGAACACCTTGGTACTCGGACGTTTTGGCTCCTGAACGCCGCAAACCCAGAAGTGACTGTTTCGGTTTGCGAACGTTCTTTGGAACCCGAATGTCCGACGGAGCTTCTGATGGGCTGCAAGAGCTTCCTGCAGCCTATTGGAAGCTGCGCTTTGGTTTCTGAATGTTTTGGAAGTCGAACGGACTTCTGGAATGGATTCCGTTCGACTTCCGAGGTATGAGAACGAGGGTCTCCTAAGAACCTTCAGTACCCTTAAGAAACTACAGCTCCCATATTTTTGGGGGGGAAGCCTTGGTGGTTTAAAGTGGCATGATACTGCTTCAGATGTTTAGTGCAGATGAGGCCAGAAGCAGAACTTGAATATTGGCCGTCCACTCTTCCCCCCTACCCAGAAAGCTCTGTCTTGAAAAGTGCATGGAGGCCATTTTGTGTTTCGGAACATTTTTTCCATGTAAACCTGGTCCAAGCTGTAGAGGCCCGTTGCAGTTAATGGCTCCTCTCAGGCCTTTCACACTAGCAGAAAATAGGAGGCTACTCCATTGCTGCCGCCTCCTTCATGAAGGCCGTAATGAATGGCCATTGTCCTGCTGCCTGCTGTTCCAGTCTGACATCACTGGCGCTCTTTTGCGATGGTGTTGGACAATTTCTCTCTCCCCAGTTAACCCTTCCCACGATCTCTTTGAGTTTTGCAAGCTCCATTCTACATCTTCACGTCTCCAGGAGAACCACAAATTTGCTCAGGGTGCTCGGCTGAGACGGAGCGGGTTCAGACTCGACTCTGAAACTGTGATTTTTTTTTTGCATGCTTGATTTATTGTGGCATCTGCACCGGCTCCCACCTGATAGAGCTATGGTTTGTGAGTAGCTGTTGAAGCTGTTTTTTCCCCCCAAACCATGATTCAGGCGGATCATGGTTTGGTATTGCATGTGAACTGACAAATTGTGATGTTGCTTCGGCCTCGAGAGGCTTTGGTTTGGGGGTAGGATTCGGGGACTTTTGAGGCATAGGGGAACGGAAACAATAGATGCTATGGTCTGCCTGAATATTGGGGGCACAATTTGTGGTTTGGAGCCTAGACTGTGGTTGGCAGCACAGGAAGTTGTTTTCTACTAAGTGAGATGACTGATCCTTCTAACTGTTTTGCTGATTGGGGATGGCTTTCCATGCTTTCAGATGGGGAGTCTTCTCTAACTGTGCTGGGAAGTGCTATGAAATTGGGACCTTCTACATCAGGGGTCAGCAAACTTTTTCAGCAGGGGGCCAGTCCACTGTCTCTCAGACATTGTGGGGGCCGGACTACATTTTGAAAAAATAATAATGAATGAATTCCTATGCCCCACAAATAACCCAGAGATGCATTTTAAATAAAAGGACACATTCTACTCATGTAAAAACATGCTGATTCCTGGACCGTCCGTGGGCCGGATTTAGAAGGTGATTGGGCCGGATCCGGCCCCTGGGCCTTAGTTTGCCTACCCATGTTCTACATGCAAGGCAGATGTTCTGCGGCTTGACTACAGATTTTCCCTTTAGCTCACATCATCTGTGTTGAAGCTGCTGTTGCAATCCTGGAGCTGCAAGTCCCCCCGCCCTTTACCAGAATTAGTACAATCCTCCCCTCCATGCTTTATGCAGCCTACTCCTGCAGAATTGATGTTGGGTGTGCATTTTGGAATGTGCCAGGCGAAAGCTTTCTAGCAGGGGGAGCCCAGGCGTTAATCAGACAGTGCGTCAAGGGCCATCAACAGATCCTGCCAAGGCCCAGCAAGGAATGGGCATGTCTGTGTGCCAAATTTTGGCCTCTCACAGGGTGCCATAGTACCCAAGTCGGCCTCTGATATTGGCCATGAAGCTCACAGGGTGACTTTGGGGTAGCTGTAGTGGTTTTTGTTTTTAATAATGATGTTGTTGTTGTTTATATGCCATCCATCTGACTAGCTCGCGACTCTGGGCAGCTACCAGCAAAATATTTTTAAAAAATACAGTAAGACACCAAACATTAAAAACTTCCCTATAGGAGGGGAAGTCACTGCATCTCAGCCTAGCCTACTCACAGGGTTGTTGTGGCGGTTAATTGAGGAGGGAGGAAGAAACGAGCATGCTACCTTGATCTCTTTGCAAGAAATGAACAAGGAATAACTCAACACACAGCAACACCCCGCTCCCACCGATGCTGTTATGTGGAAATTGAGAAGAGCTCTCCTTAAGGACCCTACACTTGGTGCCCGAGCCGTTAAGACCAAAGTTTCCCTTTTTAAAAATAATAATTTTCTTTTATTCTTATAGACAACATTTTCAATGCACGATTCTCCCATATTTCCCCCCAGCTTTGACAATCTATCTGCCCTGTTGTCTCCTTTCCCCTCACCTCTATTAATTCCCCCCTTTTTTCTTTATTGGTTTTCACATATTACATTACAATACAAATGTACCAAAGCCAAACACCATTTCCTCCCCATCCCCCCCATACATTTACATTTCTATTTCCTCAGTCCATCATATAATTCTTCCCTCTGCCCCCACTCGATTTCCTCCACATTATACAATTTACAATAATCTTTGCATTCTACAACCTTCTCAAATCATCTATATATTCTTAAAAAAAAAAAAAGAAGACCAAAGTTTCCCGTGGAATGGATGGGCATTTTGCACCATCTCTTGAGTTATCCTGAGGATAGCAACGATTACTGCTAACGCCAGTCCTGGCCAGCTGGATCCAGCCTCGGAAACTTGGTGACCTGAACGATCATAACCCCCTGTGAGCGGTTGCTGCCGCCACCGCATTCTGAATGAAGAGCTTGAACGGATTCTCGAAAAAGGCGGCGTTGTCCCAAACTGGGTTTTATATCTTGCTTCATTTCCACCCCCCTCCAAATGCTTGGAGATGTAGTGACCTCTAGCGGTCAAGAAAGACCTGAAGTGGCAGAAGGCCAGAGCTTGTTCGCCCTTGGCTCCCCAAGGAGAGGAACCCTGGGGAATTGGAATTCAGCACTGTGCTGTGCACCCCACAGCCCAGAGCTGGTTCGTGCTGGTTAGGAGTTAAATGGCAAAATCCAGGCGTAGGAAGCTGCCTTGTACCAAATCAGATCGTTGGTTTATGTGGAAATCGTTCAATTTGGTTGTGTACGTTCTGATGTTCCGCTTCTGACTGCTTTTGCTTACGTTCGTAGTTAGTATATGTGTTGTAAGGGGCCTTGAGCGTGGTTTTAACTTTGGAAAGGGGGCATATAAATAAAATGATTGATGGATTGATCATTGGTCCATCTGGCAGAGAGGGATAGCTCAGTTGGTAGAGCCTAATAATAATAATAATAATAATATAATAATAATAATAAATTTATTCTTTATTAATTTTGTATACAGTGGTACCTTGGGTTACATACGCTTCAGGTTACATACGCTTCATGTTACAGACTCCGCTAACCCAGAAATATTACCTCAGGTTAAGAACTTTGCTTCAGGATGAGAACAGAAATCGTGCAGTGACAGCAGGAGGCCCCATTAGCTAAAGTGGTGCTTCAGGTTAAGAACAGTTTCAGGTTAAGAACAGACCTCCAGAACGAATTAAGTACTTAACCTGAGGTACCACTGTACTGACCTATACCTGCAAGTCTCAGGGCGGTTATAGCATAAAATCACAATATAAAAAATACAAAATAAATAATAAAAACAAAAACAACTCAATATCTGTATCAGACATAGGCAAACTCAGCCCTCCAGATGTTTTGGGACTACAGTTCCCATTATCCCTGACCGCTGGTCCTGTCAGGTAGGGATCATGGGAGTTGTAGTCCCAAAACATCTGGAGGGCTGAGTTTGCCTGATCTATATGCTGCCCACCTGACTGGGCTGCCCCAGACATCTGATGGGAGGGTGTTCCATAGGGCAGGGGCCACTACCGAGAAGGCCCTCTGCCTGGTTCCCTGTAACCTCACTTCTCGCATGAGACTCCTAATTTCAGAGTTGTGGGTTCAAGGTCCACGTTGGGCAAAAGATTCCTGCATTGCAGGGGGTTTAGAATTATTTAGTACCTGGATAGCGGCTTGGCTAGAATTGGGCTCTTAGTTTGTTTTCTCTTTCTCCTTTCTCATAGATCCTAAAGGATCCTCGGAAAAGCGGAAAGGAGGTAAGGGATCACCTGAACTTTTGGAAACATTTCTTCGTCTCCACAGTGCTTTTTCTTCTCCCCACCTATGGACTGTCATGGATTGGTTGGAAGCGGAGGAATGGTGGGAGGAGACGGCTTTGGAATTCTTAAGAGAATAGAGCTCAGAGCCCAGGGATTGGTGGTGGGACAATGATAAGTAGAGGGAGAAGACTGGGAAGAGGTGGTGTTGAAAGCTGGAGAGGTAACATGGCTTAGTAAGATGGGAGAGTCTGTGGCAGAGAGAAGTCCAGATTCAGAGGCAGAAGCTGAAGCCAGGAGAGAAGGGAGGCCATCAAAGCAAACAGCTGAAAAAGGCTAAATTAAAGGATTCTAATTAAAGGGTTTTTAATACAAAGTTTTGTGGACTAAAATTAAAGTTAAAATGGATATTTTGTGGGCTAATATAAAGTTGCAGGCTAAAGTATGGTGACATAAGGAAAGTTTTCAACTGATTCCTAAAGGAGAAACACCCTGGTGTTTCTCCATGGAGATGTGTTCCATTGTTTTGGTGCCACTCTTGAAAAGACCCTGTCTTGCATATTTGCTTGAGAGGTCATCGCCTTGGAATTGTTGTTTAGGACCTGGTCCTATTCTGAACATGGTACATCAAGATTTAATTGATTACATTTTGGGTGTACATTTTTTTATTCCCTCTCCCCTCCAAAGAGCTCAAGTTACACCCTCTCCCTTAAAACAACCCTGTGAGGCAGGTCAGATAGTGACTTTCCCATGGTCACCCAGTCCAGTGAACATTGTGTTGGAGTGTGAATTCAAACCTGAGTCTTCCCAACCTCTTTTCAGCACTGCTATGCCCCTGCTGGTTCTTGCTTTATTAAAAATACCCGGGGTAGTTCAGTTGGTAGAGCATACGACTCTTAATCTCAGGGTCTTGCGTTCGAGGCCCATGTTGGGCAAAAGATTCCTGCATTGCAGGGGTTGGACTAGATGACCCTTAGGGTCCCTTCCAATTCTACGAAAAAAGATGATAAGAGAGTGTGTGTCCTCTTTCTTTCCAGGGCCGAAGAAGAAACGGCCGCCTCTCTTGAGCATGCCATCAGCAAACAGGCAGTCATCCGTCCCACCGACGTAAGAACCGCTGCTTCGCTCTCTTGCAAATTCCTAATATGCTGTCTGCTGTAATGCTTTTTTCTTTTTTAAATTATTGGTGCTCTGTAATGTGTTTTCAGAGGGACATGGGTGGCGCTGTGGGTTAAACCACAGAGCCTAGACCTGCTGATCAGAAGGTCAGCGGTTCGAATCCCTGTGACGGGGTGAGCTCCCGTTGCTCGGTCCCTGCTCCTGCCAACCTAGCAGTTCGAAAGCACGTCAAAGTGCAAGTAGATAAATAGGTACCACTCTGGCGGGAAGGTAAACGGTGTTTCCGTGCGCTGCTCTGGTTCGCCAGAAGCGGCTTAGTCATGCTAGCCACATGTCTCGGAAGCTGTACGCCGGCTCCCTCGGCCAATAAAGCGAGATGAGCGCCACAACCCCAGAGTCGGCCACGACTGGACCTAGTGGTCAGGGGTCCCTTTACCTTTAATGTGTTTTTAGTGTTTTACGCCGCCTGGGATGTTTTTGATAAAGGGTGGTTTATAAATTGAATAAATAAATAAAAACAAATAAAGCTGGAACTCTCCAGCTCATTGTTTGTCTACATAAGGAGAGTGGAGTCTGTGGCTCTGATGGACTATATATCTCTCATAAAGCCCTGACCATTGTGCATGCTGGCTTGGGGCTGATGGGAGTTGGCGTCCAACATCACCTTTGTTAGGGGCACAGTTGCCCACTTTTGCTTTAGATTCTCCTCTCCATTTATGTGCCCCTCAGTTTTACTGGAGCCCTAGTGACTTTACTGAGAGTACCCGTTTGATACTCACCAGCAGCCAAATTGCAAAATTTCAGAAAATCGACACCAGGTGGTGGATACTGGATTGGACTTTTAAATAGAGCCTTTGTCTTTCCTTGCAGACCTCCAAGAAACTTGGATTCCAGGACTTTCATTACTGTTGGTGAGAAGGTATGTTGATGCTGATGTTGTTCTGTTTTTTTTTTTTTTTACTTGTTTGGCGCATGCACAACCGATTAACAACATTTTTTCTTCCTGTGATGTTTCCTGGATTATCAAGAATTCTTCCTTGTTCATCTTTTTTAAATTGTTTTAGGTCCGGTTTTATATGGATTATAGCTCCTTCCTTTTTTGTTACACCTGAGGTTACAAAGTCCTTTCCCAAAGCCCTTTTGTTCTTCAATATTCTTTTACGTTTCCTCACTTTGTGTGTTTCTCTGAGGCAAATCACATCAAGGTTTAACTTCTCTAACAACAAATTTTGTGAAAGAGATAAAGAAGGTCGCCGGCTGATGTTAGCAATATGAATATTGGCTCAATCCTACGCTAAACGTATTATTTTGTCAATATTTTTGTGCGTCTTTCTCTCTCTCTCCCGGTCAACAGAATTTTGAAGTAGAGGCCGACGACTTGGTGAGCATTTCGGAGTTGGGAAGAGGAGCTTACGGCGTAGTGGAGAAAGTGTATCACGCACAGAGCGACACCACCATGGCTGTGAAGGTAAGAGCCGCAGTATTATATAAAAATTTATTTATTTGGTTTTTCAAATTAAAGTTTTACAATCACATATCCAACATACATCATAAAAACAAGATTCCAAAGAATCTCCTGGACGTCCCTCCTCCCCTTTGTGGGTCATTTCCTCCTGCATCTTTTATAATACAGTGGTACCTCGGGTTACATATGCTTCAGGTTACATAAGCTTCAGGTTACAGACTCCGCTAACCCAGAAATAGTGCTTCAGGTTAAGAACTTTGCTTCAGGATAAGAACAGAAATCATGCTACGGTGGCGCGGCGGCAGCAGGAGGCCCCGTTAGCTAAAGTGGTGCTTCAGGTTAAGAACAGTTTCAGGTTAAGAATGGACCTCCGGAACGAATTAAGTACTTAACCCGAGGTACCACTGTACAGTGGTAACTTGGTTCTCAAACTTAATCCGTTCCGGAAGTCCGTTCCAAAACCAAATCGTTCCAAAAGCAAGGTGCACTTTCCCATAGAAAGTAATGCAAAATGGATTAATCTGTCCAGACTTTTAAAAACAACCCCTAAAACAACCGGGCGAGGAATAGTTTTCCCGAAGCCTTGACAGTATGGTTATTTTCTTTTTCTTTTCCCACTCTCTGCAGAGAATCCGAGCCACTGTGAACTCTCAGGAGCAGAAGAGGCTAGTGATGGACTTGGACATTTCCATGAGGACCGTGGACTGCTTTTACACTGTCACGTTCTACGGAGCCCTTTTCAGAGAGGTAGGTGAGCAGCGGGAAGGCCAGAGGCTCTTCATTTTTGCCGGCCACCTCAGACAGTGAGCACAACTTCTGAAGCGTTTGCTGAAAAGCAGGGGGAAGCCAACCTGGTGCCCCCCAGATGTCTTACGCATTTATTTAAAGGAGGTATACAGCACAAAAATGTAACACTTAAGTATAATAACATTGGTTAAACAAATAGCGTTCTCAATAAAGTGCATTTTTGAAAAATCAAGTTCCAAAGGCATGTCCATTGGCAGGGAGTTCCACAGGGCAGGACCTGCTAAAGGTTCAGTCCTCTGATGGCCAACCAATTCATCTCTCTCCCCCTTCTCCTCCTTCTCTCACTCCCTTCTTTTCAGGGTGATGTGTGGATCTGCATGGAGCTAATGGACACGTCTCTGGATAAATTTTATAAGAGGGTCCTGGAAAAGAAGAAGACGATCCCCGAAGACATACTTGGGAAAATAACCGTGTCTGTGAGTGGCACCTTCTTTCTTTGGGGAAGGTTGCTGTGGGACCCACCCACCCATAGCAAGTGAGCCAGGGAGGGCAGTCTGCTTGATTGCTAAGCGCAGAATGCAGCAGCCAACACAGATGGAGAGACCCCAGCTTCTTTTTAAAATCAGGGTGGGGTCATGCAAAACCCTTTTTATTAATTAAGCTTCTATATCGAGGACTGTCTCCCTAAGCTGCTTATTTCAGGCTGGTGAAGAGGCATGTGTATCTCCCCCTCCTGCTGCAACAAACTCCCTTCCCTGCTTGCCTCCCAGAACCAGAAGAGGCATGAAATGGGCAGAGGAGACATAGGCGGCCCGCAGGCGCAGTCTCTGATTATGTGGAGAAGAGGGGACTTAGCCAGCTGTGGGGAGATGGGGGACCTTCAGTCTCATGGGGGCAAGACTTATTGGAGATGAGTTGCTGTGTTCATTAGGCCTGATACTCCTTTGCAGATTGTGTTTTTTGCTAATAGAGTTAACTCTAGCTTGCTTAGCGTGATTTGAGAATTGAGGACCCGCCACCCGCTTAGAGATAAATAAGACACAGGGACACATGAATTTTAGGTTAATGGGCTAAAGAAGGCCACAGCATTATTGGTTACAGCATGTGAGTGCTATTGGGTTTAGGCATTGGATCAAACAGTCTATACATGACTCCACCCCGCTCAGCGGGGAGTCACCCGAAGGTTAACAACCAGTGGGAGGAGCTTGCTGATGCAAATACAGTGGTACCTTGGGTTACATACGCTTCAGGTTACATATGCTTCAGGTTACAGACTCCGCTAACCCAGAAATAATACCTCGGGTTAAGAACTTCGCTTCAGGATGAGAACAGAAATCGTGCAGCGGTGGCACAGCAGCAGCAGGAGGCCCCTTTAGCTAAAGTGGTGCTTCAGGTTAAGAACAGTTTCAGGTTAAGAACGGACCTCCGGAACGAATTAAGTACTTAACCCGAGGTACCACTGTACAACTGAAGCTCCCCCTGATGTCACCGGGGGTCGTGCCATGGCCCTAGCCACCAGCAGGGCATTGGACAGGATCCACGACCGCCGGATTCCTTTAATGGAGTACCCAACAAGGGGAGGGGTAGGTGATGGCCACAGCTGCCCTCCAACACACAACACATAATCCAATGCCTAACAGCCAATACCCAAAAAGTTGTGACGGTTTGCTACGAGGTAAGTGAAAAATCAAGAGGCTGGTTCCAATTTGCCAGATGTATAAACATTCCTACCAGGCCGCCTGGGCAACCAGGGCAACCAACCTGAGTCCATAGCAAAGTCAGACGCATAAATATGATCTAAAGGGAGGGTGGGCGGGTGATCCGATGACAAAGGGGCACAGAATGAGAAGATGGAGCTGCCGCGGCTGCTTGAATGCGGCTAAACCCTGCCCACAAGCCAGCCCTATTGGCTGGCCTACGGGCACGGCAGCCAGGTAAGCTGATGCAGGGGGCTGAATACGCCCCCCTGCTGACGTGGGAACCGACTCCCGCTCGCAACTCCTCCCCTCTGTTAGGAGGAGAGGCTTTACTGCTGGATCGCTCCAGGCACGGCAGCTCACCTGGTTGGCCAAAGCTGGTCTGCAGCTAGAATTACACCTTCCTCTCTCTCTTTGTCTTTCTCCAGATTGTCCGAGCCTTGGAGCATTTGCATAGCAAGCTGTCTGTGATTCACAGAGGTAGGCATTGGAGTTTGTGCATTACGAGGGCTGAGCGGGGGGCGTAGAGCTCATAGGCAAAGCACCTCTTGGGATGTGGAAGATCCTAAGGTCAGCCTCCAGCATCTCCTGTTGGAACGATTCTGGTTGCAGACAATATAGAAAAATGGCCTGCCCAGAACCCTGCCAAGCTGTTGCCAGTCAATATGGAGTACTGAGCTAGATAGAGGCAGAGAACAGTCTGAGCTGATAGAAGGTGGCTTCACCATTAATCATTCCAGAGCCGCTAAAGTTTGTTTCCATTCTGCCTGACTGGACACACCTTGTCATGTTTGCATCTGTATCTTGCATATAATAATAATTTATTATTTATACCCCGCCCATCTGGCTGGGTTTCCCCAGCTACTCTGGGTGGCTCCCAACAGAATTAATGATAATAACAATAAAAAAAGATAAAACACCAGACATTAAAAACTTATCTAAACAGGGCTGCCTTCAGATGTCTTCTAAAAGTCAGATAGTTGCTTATTTCCTTGACATCTGATGCGTTCCACAAGGCGGGCGCCACTACCGAGAAGGCCCTCTGCCTTTCCTGTAGCTTCACGTCTCGCGGTGAGGGAACCACCAGAAGGCTCTTGGAGTTGGACCTCAGTGTCCAGGCTGAACGATGGGGCTGGACTTCAGGTTCAGGGCTTTAAAGGCCAGCACCAACGCTTTGAATTGAGCTCAGAAACGTACTGGGAGCCAGTGTAGGTCTTTCAGGACAGGTTTTATATGGTCTCGGCAGTCACTCTCAGTCACCAGTCTAGCTGCCGCATTCTGGATTAGTTGTAGTTTCCGGGTCACCTTCAAAGGTGGCCCCACGTGGAGCATATTGCAGTAGTCTAAGCGGGAGATAACCAGAGCATGCACCACTCTGGCAAGACAGTCCGCGGGCAGGTAGGGTCTCACCCTGCATACCAGATGGAGCTGATAGACAGCTGCCCTGGACACAGAAGCGACCTTCGCCTGCATGGACAGCTGTGAGTCCAAAATGACTCCCAGGCCGCGTACCTGGTCCTTCAAGGGGACGGTTACTCCACATGCATAATTTTGATTTGCATGTTAACATGTGGAAAGTCTTGGGAACTTGATGCAATGCAACAGGATGGGAGCTCAGTACAGAACATTTCAGCTGTGTTTGTAGCCCCCCTAATTTAAAGGCCCTTGGGGAGGAAGCTGCGCACAGCGTGGGAGCCCAGCCCAGGTTTTTGTGTTCCTTCCACAGACACAATCGTGAGGTCTAGGAACCTGAAAAGTGTTGTGGTTTGGTTTGGCATTGACTAAGACTCTTACGTTCTGCACACAGCTAGAGCTGTGGACATGCTGATGAAATACAACCTGTGCCCTTAATAATGATTGTGCAACCTGTACAGCATAAGCTAAGCCATTCAGTTCTTTATGCTTAAGCCAAGAAATTGTTTCTATAACTACATTTAGCACTAATAGTCACATTAATGGCTCGAGACCACTGAGGAAGCCCAGAAAACTGTTCTCAGGGAGTGGGCTATCAGCCAACCCCAATAAATTGGCCCTGTCGGGGGCAAAATAGCAGCTCTTCAACTTTATGGACTGCTAGGGCGAAACGGGGATAGAACGCTGGTACCCTGTCTTCCATCTGCACTTCACAGCTACCGGGAACATCGTTGAACTTACCTACCTTCTTGAACATACCTAAAAAACAAGGGGGGGGGGAGTGTCGAGAAGTTGTAAGAACTTATTAAAATCTGATACTGCAAGTTCACTTTATTTTAGATAGCTTATAATTTTTCATGGCACTTTGCAAGTAGTTGTCTTATTCTCACAAATTTGATAAATGGTGAAAAATTGTTTTTGAACAAGAATATTAATTGGTGTGAATAATTGTCGCCTATGTGCTGTACGGGTTGCACAAACAGAGTTATGGGCATGGCAGCGGAAAGCCTTCACAGTTCCAGCTGCGTGCTCTTCAAACATAAGACTAAAACTGTGCACAAATGTGCCTTTAAATAATTTTCATTAAAATTTTTAACGGAGGGAAGTCTCCTTAGCTGATCCAGAGAAAGGAGTGTTAACCGATCTCTTCCTCTTAACAGACGTGAAGCCGTCCAACGTCCTTATCAATAAACAGGGACATGTCAAAATGTGTGACTTCGGGATCAGTGGATACTTGGTAGATTCTGTGGCGAAGACCCTGGATGCTGGTTGCAAACCTTATATGGCGGTGAGTTTTTGATCAATTGTTTGGGGCACACCGCCCTTCTCTTGTCTCCTCGCCCTCCTCTGTTCAATCAATCAGTTTTTTGTGATCAGCCTTCAGGAAGAAACATGAACAATTATTTATTTGTTGGTTCATTTGTTTCCTATATCCAAGGATCACAGGGTGGTGTACAATATAAAAACACAAAAATACATGACCTGGTAACAAACGTAAACAATAACCACTCCCCAGTATAAGAGGCTATAGATTGTTTAATTAGCCCAAAGGCCTGGGAGAAGAGGAATGCTTTCGTCTGGCATTTAAATGAAGGCACCAGACAACCCGCCTTAGGAAGAGCATCCCACAAGTTGGGAGCCACCACAGAAAAGGCCCCGCTCTCATGTTGCTGCTCTACGGACCTCTTGCAGGGTAGACACACAAAGAAGGGCCGCAGGTGATGACTGCAGGGTCCAGGTGGGTTCATATGGGGAGAGGCGGTCCTTGAGGTATTGCGATCCTGAGCTGTTAATAATAATAATAATAATAATTTTTTATTTATACCCCGCCCTCCCCAGCCAAGGCCGGGCTCAGGGTAGCTAACAAGCAATAATAAAAATAAGTTGAATGAATACAACTTAAAAACAAAATTAAAATACAACATTAAAATATTGAAGCAATATTATATTGTTATCATTATTATACAATAATACCAGGCCCTGGGATCTTTGGATAAAGGGTGGTAATATAAATTGTATCAATAATGGGAAACCAGTCCGATAAAATTACTAACAGCAGTTTCATGCTATAGAACGGCAGGCATGGAAAACAAAATTATAAGTTTGCTCAAATGAATTCTGGCGAGTTTCACGTGCACAATATTTAGCTGCTCTGGAAGGAAGAGATGGATGCGTTCTTATCTGAAAGGACCCCCCAAAAATCATAAAATGCATTTGATCACCCTGGGATTTTCCATAAAGTGAGTTCAAGTACAAATCTTATGTATATCCCAGGAAGAGAAGTGGTGCTTAAGTGCATGAGTTGTCAAGTTCTACTGTGATTTATAATTCGTTGGGAGCTGCCCAGAGTAGCTGGGGCAACCCAGTCTGATGGGTGGCATAAAAATTATTATAATTATAATTGTAGTAATAATTATTATTAGTCTGCCTCTCTGGATTCACAGAAACATTTACCTTGACAATAGGGGAGTTCTTTGAACTTCCCATCCAAAAGTACATTTAACGGTGCCAGAATAAATGCCCCATGATGTTCAAAGAGCACACAAAGAACCCAATTCTTCCTTGGTCACTTCAACAGAATGAGTGTCACTTGGCTGAGGACCCTTTCCAGGCTGTCTTTGGGGTGAATGGATGGGAGGGTATACAGTGGTACCTCAGGTTACAGACGCTTCAGGTTACAGACTCCACTAACCCAGAAATAGTACCTCAGGTTAAGAACTTTACTTCAGGATGAGAACAGAAATCGCGCGGTGGTGGCGGGAGGCCCCATTAGCTAAAATGGTACCTCAGGTTAAGAACAGTTTCAGGTTAAGAATGGACCTCCAGAACGAATGAAGTTCTTAACCCGAGGTCCCACTGTAGTGTTTGTCCACACGTCATTCCACTTCGTTAGTTGTTCTGTGATTCTTCCCCCGATGTGAATGGGCATAATTGCCGTCTGGAGGATAACTCTTGTGCTCTTGTAGGGCAAAGCAAAACGTATCTGGATATCTGCGGTATTAAAACCCCCCCACAGGATTTCAGCAGGAAGTTACAGTGGTACCTCGGGTTACTAACTTCATTCGTTCCGGAAGACCGTTCTTAACCTGAGGCGCGCATTCCCTAGATAGGCCTCCTGCGACCCCGGAAGCGGATTGCGTTTGTATCCCGGGGCAAAGTTCGCAACCTGGGACACCTACTTCCGGGTTTGTGGAGTTTGTAACCCGAAGCAGTTGTAAGCAGGACTGTTTGTAACCTGAGGTAGCACTGTACGTAATGTGCAGTCTGTCTGCCCTGAAGATTTCTGCAGGTTCAAACAGTATATTTATATCTTACCCTACCTACAAGGAACTTGGGGGAATGGTTCTTCACCTCCCCTTTTTATCCTTAAAACAACCGTGCAGGGTAGTTTGCGGCTGAGAGAAGGAGTGGCCTGGCTCAAGGTGAGCTTTCGTGGCTAGGCAGGGACTTGAATCCAGCTTTCCGTAGTTCAACCACCAGACTGTGCCAAACCTTTTCAATACCTTTCCTTTGCAGCCAGAGAGAATAAACCCTGAGCTGAACCAGCAGGGGTACAATGTGAAATCGGACGTCTGGAGCCTGGGCATCACCTTGGTAAGAAATCTAAGCAGAAGTGTGTCTGTGTGTAAAGGGATCAGTAATCTTGTGGGTTTAAGAATTCTGCAGTCAGGAAACACGTGAACACTCTTGGGGATCTATGAAATATATTGCATGAGATATTGTCACCTTGTTGTGGGGCTTGCCCCAATCTAGAATAGACATATGGAACTCCCTGCTACCAGATGCAGGGGTGTGTATTGGTGTAAAGGTAAAGGGACCCCTGACCATTAGGTCCATTAGGTCTGGGGTTGTGGCGCTCATCTCGCTTTAATGACCGAGGGAGCCGGCGTACAGCTTCCAGGTCATGTGGCCAGCATGACGAAGCCACTTCTGGCAAACCAGAGCAGCGCGCAGAAACGACATTTACCTTCCCACTGGAGTGGTACCTATTTATCTACTTGCACTTTGAGGTGCTTTCGAACCGCTAGGTTGGCAGGAGCAGGGATCGAGCAACGCGAGCTCACCCCGTTGTGGGGATTTGAACTGCCGACCTTCTGAGTGGCAAGTCCTAGCGTCTGTGGTTTAACCCACAGCGCCACCCGCGTCCCTGTGTATTGGTATACTTAGCTTTAAAAGAGGATTAAAAAAAAAAATCACAGGGAGAGTTTCATCAGTGGCTACTGGGCTAATGGAGCCTCCTTGTTCCAAGACAGGATACCTCCAAATAAGAAATGTCATGGACGTAGAACGATGAAACTTGCCTTCAGGCTTTCTGGTTGGCTACTGCAGCAAGCAGAAACACTGGACCCAGGTAGAAGTTCCGTTTGACCAGGAAGGGCTCTCTGTTTATGTTCTGTTCTGCTCTCTCCCTCTCAGATTGAAATGGCCATTCTCCGATTCCCGTACGAATCCTGGGGCACCCCTTTCCAGCAGCTGAAGCAAGTGGTGGAAGAGCCCTCGCCTCAGCTGCCTGCGGAGCATTTCTCACAGAACTTTGTGGACTTCACAGCCCAGTGGTAGGTGCCCTTTCCATCCAGGCCGCCATCTTGTCTCCCAGAATGCACTGCACCGGAGGTGATCCATTTCCCTGAAGCACAGTGCTTCAAAACACCCCCAGCTTTGCATGCAGAACGTCCCTGGCATCATCTCCAAGTTGGTTTTATTGAAGTAGGTTTTACCCTCGGGCATTTTAATCTGGTTTAGGACCCCCTTGGCTGTTGGTGGTTTTAGGGACGTGTGCAATACAGCTTCTTCACCACCTGAGCTTTGCTGTTGGAGTGATTTGTAGGAAGAGGAACCTCATTTTCCCACCGTCTGTTATTAGCAGCTTGCAGTGAACTTCACCAGCATGTGAAATTCCTGGGAGAAGCATCTCTGGGTTCATGTGGATGATTCATGGGCACACCTGTGCCTTGGGAACAAGGTGCACCTGCCAACTCCCCACCCCCACTCCCAGCCCAGATTTACCCCTGTAGTCACTTGGTAGCAATAAGTAAACAAACAACCCCTGTGTTGCAAAATGTGACTCAGCAAAATCAAAAACAACACAATGGCCAGAAACATTTACAGTATAGAAAACTTTATGGAATAATGCAAAACATCAGAATTATCAAACTGATGAAGAACTGAACGAAACAGTAGTTGCTATCTGGAAACACTGTTCAGCAGAGTTCAGATTTGGACATTTGCTGATCATACAAAGCTTTACAAGCTTGATCTCTGCCGGGTAAAATCTGGCACCGTGACTTATTCAAGGACTTTTAGAGACTTCAGTTTGATAATTTTGATAGCGAGCTGATACCCTTCAGTATGGCAAACCCAGAAATTTGCCCTCTTGCAGCTCTGCAGAAGGCAAAAGCAGCGAAAGCAATTTTGTAGGAACAGGTGAGAGGAAATAGGGACTGTCCTTGATGAATTTGGGCAGCTGAAATGTATGCAAGTTGAAATTATAATGTGTAATTAAAAGGCAACATAAAAGCTGCCTACAACAAGAGCAGAATACTGGGACCTGCCCCACCCCCTTTTTTAAAAAAAACAACAACGCATGGATGAGTAAAATATGATGCAAACTATTGTTGTTTTTCCTTTTTCAAACATAACCTTTGTTAATGTTATGCAGTAATAATATAGATTGGGAGAAATGAAAGCTTCACACAGCACTTGAGTTTCTTCTGGGTCTCGGTAGGATGCATTTAATCACCCAAACATATATTACACATAACCATATACCACAAAACTAAAACTCTGTTTGCATAAAACAACCTGATGAGTATTCAGGGCTATATTAAAATGCCACACAAATGGCTTCATTACTATGAAAAAGTTATAGTTTATGTTTACTTCCTTCATAGCAACATAATACCTATCCAGCGTTCCTCTAAAGTTCTTAATGTTTTGTACAGCCGACCTCTTAACTCTCACAAATTTTCTTTCCTTGTTTTTCGTTCTCTCAGTTTGAGGAAGAATCCTGCCGAACGATTGAGTTACGTGGAACTCATGGTGAGTGTCTCTCCTTCCTTCTCCAAATTTGGTTAAGGCTTATGTGGTGCCAGCAAGGAATTAATAGAATTGTAGAATTGGAAGGGACCACGAGTCATTAATAATAATGCATTTTATTTATACCCTGCCCTCCTGGCCAGAGCCGGGCTCAAAGCGGCTAAGAGTAAAAACATAATGGGGGGGACTGACCAATTTAAAATACAGGTTCAAAATGCAATTTAAAAGCAGCCTCATTTTAAAAGTAGCCCATAGATCAAAAACCATAAGGGGAGAGAAACATAAGGGTCAGACTGAGTCCAAACCAAAGGCCAGGCGGAACAGCTCTGTCTTGCAGGCCCTGCGGAAAGATGTCAAGTCCCACAGGCCCTAGTCTCTTGTGACAGAGCGTTCCACCAAGTCGGGGCCAGTACTGAAAAGGCCCTGGGCCCTATTTGAGACCAATCTAACCACCTTGCGACCTGGGACCTCCAAAATGTTGTCATTTGTGGACCTTAAGGTCCTCCGCGGGGCATACCAGGAGAGGCGATCCCGTAGGTCCGACCCCCTGCAATGCAGGAATCTTTTGCCCAACGTGGACCTCAAATCCGTGACCCTGAGATTAAGAGTCTCATGCTCTACCTACTGAGCTATCCAGGAAATGACTGCCCTTCATTGAAGGATTTTACACAGAGTTTGGACGGCCAACTTATCAGGGACTCTTTAGTTGTGTTTCCTGCATTGCAGGGGGCTGGACCAGATACCCTTTGGGGGGCTGCCTTCCAAGTCCACGATTCTATGACTACCTCTTCCTTTGCTCCTTGTGCAAGATGAGACCTCTTTTCTCTCCCTGTTCCAAACTGATACCATTCTCCTTTCCCAACAGGCCCACCCGTTCTTCACTATGCACGACACCCGCGAGACTGATATGGTCTCCTTCGTCACAGAAATCCTCGGAGATGACTCCTAAAAGTCCCACGGAACCTCGCCATCGGAACAAAAGAACCAGCCCTGCCTTCTCCTGGCGGGGAGAGAGAACGGAATAAGGATTTTTATAGCACCAACTGTGGTTTGCACAAAAGAGAATGAATGTCTTCGCTGCTTCCTCCCCATCCCACCCCAAATAATTTTTCTCTTCCCTCCCACCCTATTTCTCGGCACCATGCTGGACTTAGAGAGCGATTTTATTATTATTATTTAACAAGAGGCCTCTATGAATGACATGTTTGTGACATGTAGAAGTCTTCGATCCCAACTGTAGCCACGCACAGTCCGCTTAAGGGTTGAAGGGTGCTCAAGACAACTCCCCCTCCTCGGGTGGGTTTTGAGAAAAGCACGTTGTGTTACTTTTAAAACCAGGCGCCTTTTTGAAATGCAGCTGTGTGTGTGTACGTGTGTGTGTGTGTGTTTGTGTGTCTATGAGCATGTGTACTTGGAGAGATCTGAGCCCATCTAAAACTGCATACAAAACCACAGCAGCTACAGAAGTGTCACCTGTCGCAGGTTAACCAGCAGAGCTGCGGGGCTGGTTGCTTTTTGGGTGGTGCCCCGTCATCTTGCAAGCGGCAGATCGCATTAAAATAAAATTTAAAAAAACCTCAGTAGATCACGAGGCTCTTAATCTCAGGGTCGTGGATTTGAGCCTCACGTTGGGCAAAAGATTCCTGCATTGCAGGAGGTTGGACTAGATGCCTCTCGTGGCCCCTTCCAACTCTATGACCTGATATCTATGAACTGAACCCACACCCCAGTTACTCCCTGTATGTAGAAAACTAGCTCTTAGAGCAGAATGGAAGAGTTATTTAAATGTTCTCCACTGTGGAAGTCTGGGAAGGACTCTCACCTATAATTCTGTTTTTAACACGACTCTTAGTTTTGTTATCGCCCCCAAACATTTACTCATTTAATTCTAACAGCCGCTTTTCTTAGGCCTAAACAGACGTCTCCTTTAGTTTTCCACAGCTATATGTAATATATTACCAGTTTATTTCAAATGCTCTGTCCAGTCACAGTTGTGTGGCAAAATCAGTAGACACACACATACACAAACCCCTCTTTAAACACAAGCAGAAAGTCCCCCTCTCCAAAATTGCTCTGGAAGCAGTGATTGAGTTGAGCAGCCATCTCTCTGCTGACCTAAGACCACAGGTGCATCCTGTTGTCGGACTGCCATACCCATCATCCCTCACCTGTTGACCATGCTCTCTGCTGGGGTTGATGGGATTGCTAGTCGAGCAACGCTTTGAACACCACGTGTTTCCCACCCCTGCTATAGAAAGAGTCCCAAGGACAGGCAGGCAGTTCATAGCCATATTTAACGTAGTGGAGGGAAGAATCTAACGTCCAGATTTATCTGACAAATCCCCAGATCTTTCTTTCTTCCTTTTTAATGAAAAGAGCAGTTGAATGTGGGGTGCCTATATGTATTGGGGTGGGGCATATTGACAGTTCCTCTGCTGTCTCTCCCCCCCCCCCAAAGTTCACATACACAAACCAGCTTCAGTACCACCCAGCCAGTCGGTGACGATGGGAGTTGTAGTCTTAATAAGACTTTTTAAAAAATCCACAGACACTTTTTCATCTGCGACACACTGCCAGGTAGAAGCATTCATGTCGGTTTCCCCACCACGGGGACAAGCAGACTTGCTTTTTCTGTCATGCCAGCTAATGCCTGCACATGGGGAAGTTGTGAGTCAGGTTGTCCAGTGTTGGGTGTGCTAAATGGCAGTCCCTATCTGGGATTTCTCAGGCAGTGCCGATTTCCATTCCTACCTGGAAATGCTGGGATTTGAACCTGGGACCTTCTGCATGCGAAAGCCAGGTTCTCTACCGCTGAGCTAGGGACCGCCTCCTTTCGTTCATCTGTCTCATCCTCTCGGAAAAGGTGCTTGCCAACACAGTTGACACTTGTTGCTAAGTTGTACTCTAATGCCCTGCCCACAACCGACAAAAGGGAAGCATTTACCTGTGATATTATATAGCCCCACTTGGTTTCTGTGGATTACGTCTTTCTCCCCTCTCCTAAACACACGTGCAAGTCATATCCATTATTATCTGCCTTCTTTCTAATATATTTGTACATATAAATTATATTTTGAAAACTCAGCATTATGCCCAGGTGGGAATAGGTTTGGCAAAACAACCAGCAATTTTACTTAGACCAACCAGCCTTAGGGAGTGTTGGCGAAGCGTTGTGGTTCAAAGGGGAAAAAACAAGCCACCTAATTTTTAACGGGTCCTTTTTAAGAAGCATCCCTGGATTCTTAAAAGCATGCCTTGGGTCTTCAAAAGTGGCCACCTCCTCTGGAGAAATTAGGTTTCCATCCTTTGCTCTCCCTCCTACCCCCAACCCCAATAATGTTCCTCAAAGTTCTCTGCCTTAACTACTTTTGTAATTCTGTGGAATAAGGTCCAGGGTTCTGGAACCATAGGAATGCAAGCAGGATCAGGCCAAAGCTCCATCATTGACCAACCACATCCCTCTGGGAAACCTGCAAGTGGGGAGCTAAGGGCTCTTGACTCCTGTTAGGGCCGGTCCTGCCATTTGGCAGAGTGAAGTGTCTGCCTCAGGCTACGTCTGCCGAGGGGCTGGGAGCAGCTACAGAGTGGTACCTGCATGCCTCCTAAGCTAGCAAGCTGATTTTGGGGGCAGTTGAGGAAGCAGTTCCATCACCGGTGCTGAAGTTTGACCCCATTTGCTCTGTACATTTGAAGTAGCCTCCTCCTACTTTAAACAATGCCAGAAACTGCTGAGAGCTGTTGGGAGAACCCCATTCAACTCGCAGAGTCCCTTGGGGAAGAGGGATTGGCTGCTAAACAGCTCCTGAGAACTGTAGCTTCTGCATGTGATGGGCGTGGAGTTACTTTTGGCCTTCCAGTTGTTGCTGACCCACAACTCCTGGGATCAGTGGCCTCGCCGGGGCTGATGGAAGTTGTATTTCAGCAAAGGTTCCCCACGCCTGGTATATGGAATGGGTGAGGAGAGGTGGTGCCACCTGCTTTCACGCTGGCAACACAATGCCGTCACTGGCTGTGTTGTCTTTCCACACCTGGGCTTCAGTAGCCGTGCCGCCACTGAGAGTGGAGGTTGTATATTGCCATCATGGCTCCTATTTGCCCAACCTCCCTTCTTGTAGCCACCAAAGCCCAGCGGCTATTGCTTTAGCAACCTCCTTAAATTAAATAGGTGTCGTTTGATCAAGTTGTTCTTTTGTCTGTCCCGAAAAACCCATGCCTTCAGCATTTTTAATGTTTTATTTTTTAAAAAAGATGATGAATCACTTTCCATTTTTCTCCTGAATTACCCCTCCCTTCATCTCTTCCTAAGGCAAACTGCTGCACTTTTGTCATGGGTTAGCCCTGCAAGTGTCGTGTGGCAGGTTTTTTGAATTGCAGGTGTTGTATAATTTTTATCACTCGTCTTTATTTTTAACGTTGCTGTTGTACTTTTCTGGAAAATATCCCCCATCCTCCTCTTCCTTCAAAGGTTCCGTGATTTATTTTTTTTAACTGCATGGTTTTAGATTTTCAGCCTTGTTTTCTCCACTTTTATATCCACCCCCACCCCACTTTTTCCAATAAAAACCTGGTTTGAGAAAGCGAGAGTGACTCCATTTTGAACACCCAATAAACAAAATGGCCGCTTCCCCACTAGTGAGAATCCAGGCCAAGGGGCTAAATGCACCCCATGTGCCCCCTCTGTCCTGGCCATGCCCATAACTGACCTTACCTCACACACTTGTTGAGTGGTTTTTGCCTGACTGGAATGTGTCCAAATAATGCCTCTCGCTTGCCTGGATGGTGAATGGTGTGTGTGTGTGTGTGTGTGTGTGTGTGTGTGTGTGTGTAGAAGTTAGCCTATTTTATGTAGGTAAAATTCACATTCAGCGTTTGCCTCTGGCCCTGCCCGCTCCCGGAACGTGGCCCACCAAAGGTTGCCCACTACGGAATGTGGCCCTCAGCCTGAAAATGCTTTCCTGCCCTTGTTACATGAGCTGGAACTACGTGGAGCCAGAGAGAACCTTCTGGGTTGATCTTAGATTAGAGAGAACCACATACCTCTCTCTAAACTACACTGCAGCTTGCTTGCTTTTTCTCCTCCGCTTCCCCTACCCCGCCTGGGTCCTTTCCAAAAAAAAGGCTCACCGGTGGGGATGGAAAATGGTTTTGTATCTAGGAAAGGACTGGATGCTTTTATGAATTGGAAGAATTGGTATATAGCAACGAACTTGGTCATTGGTTTTCAATAAAATAAGCCACCCAACCCAGTTTCTTCTGTGATTTTTTCCCTTACAAACACTTTAAATAAAAGTAACAGCCAAGCTTTCCTTGATGATGTGTTCTTACTCCAATTCAGTGTTTCTCAAACTTGGGTCCCTCTCCAGCTGTTTTTGGACTACAACTTCCATCATTCCCAACCACTGTTCCTGCTAGCTAGGGATGATGGGAGTTGTAGTCCAAAGACAGCTGGAGAAACAATGTTCTAAAGCTGCTCGCCATCACAACTCTTAAATCTTGCATTAATTCCTAGCTGGGGGAAGAGAACTGCTTGCTTAAGGCATCCTTGGTTTGAACCAAATCGTTCTGTCCATTGCTATAATGTTTTGTCATTTATTCTGTGATGAGTTGCACACCTAGATCAGAGCTGATCCTGATTTGCTATATCTCCAGACTGCCTTACATGTTTACAGAACAACTTACAGAAAACTCTTAAATCCAAATGTTTTTAAAATGTATATTCCACCAAGGCAAGTGTACAAAGGCCTTTTACGCTGCTGTTCATTTTTGCAACATGACATGGATGCAATAATAGTGCAATAGCGGTGGATTTACACTGGGCTGTTGACAAATCATTCTGCTCTATTAGTTCTGCAATACTTCTCCCATGTTAATTGCATTACTGCTATCTGGAGGGGTCCCGCTGCATGACAAAATAAGGGCAATAAACAAATTAAACCGAAGCATCACTTGTATAAAATGCTACAGGATTTCAGCAGGAAGACACAGGATGGGGAACAAAGCAAGTACGTCTGCCACAAAACATTTGCAGGTGCAAAAGGTATTGGAATAATCATGTATAAGCACCCCAGTATCAGCATAAGCAGGAGCGGCCCGCTGTCTCCTGACTTATTCCCAAATTCCTGGTGGAACTTAAAATGTCATACACTATTGCCATCGTTTTATCATTTCATGCAGTAGAAAGTGCAGGCTAACCAGCAGATTAAATGCAGAGTGCAGATGGGGCCTAGTTCCTTTTCCCCAGTTCCTTATTCTTACCCATGTTGAATTTATCCCTTAAAGCAAGGAATTAAGTGCCATTTGCCTTTTTCACAGTTGGAAGAGTTGTAGGAGGTACTTCAAGAGTGTTATCACATCATTTTGACGAATGCCTTCAGAATTGGGTACCGTATCCCTATTAATCTTTTATTCATAGCAGCACAGCTTCAAAAGAGAAGGGGCTTTGTGCTTATTTTTAAGCATTTTTGTCTACTCAAAGTGGCTTAACGATGCCAAAGTTGTCTTCCCGGTGAATGTAATAAATGCATACCGGGGCAAGTGCAAGAAATTCCATTTGATGCTTTTGTGAAATGATCCATTTTTAACTGCAGCCACCCCCACCCCTGGTAACCGCAATACCTTTGTGCCACAGATGTTCAGGCTGGAATTACTTGCATCATTTTAAATTCTTCAAGGAAAACACAGCTTTGTTGTTGTTGAGTTGTTTAGTCGTGTCCGACTCTTCGTGACCCCATGGACCAGAGCACGCCAGGCACTCCTGTCTTCCACTGCCTCCCGCAGTTTGGTCAAACTCATGCTGGTAGCTTCGAGAACACTGTCCAACCATCCCGTCCTCTGTCATCCCCTTCTCCTTGTGCCCTCCATCTTTCCCAACATCAGGGTCTTTTCCAGGGAGTCTTCTCTTCTCATGAGGTGGCCATAGTATTGAAGCCTCAGCTTCAGGATCTGTCCTTCCAGTGAGCACTCAGGGCTGATTTCCTTCAGAATGGATAGGTTGGATCTTCTTGCAGTCCATGGGACTCTCAGGAGTCTCCTCCAGCACCAGAATTCAAAAGCATCAATTCTTTGGCAAAAACACAGCTTAAGCCACCCCAAAATAAGATATTGGAGCAGTCCAAATTATTTGCCTATGTATGTACATGGAAAATAATACATCTAGCTGAAAGGCAACACATGGAGATCTCCACTGATCATTGCAATGTATCCCTAATTATAACTATTGCATAATTATAATTAGGGATACATTGCAATTATAATTATTATTGCATAGTTATAAGATTATTGTATAATTGTAGAAGGAGGAGTGGCTGTGAGGGGATGTGGCTGTGAGAGTATTGGTGCAAAATAAATAAATTCCTGGATGCCAAGATCCAAGTTTGGGGCAAGTAGTCTTTGGTGAGAGAACCTCAGCAAAGTCACAAAGTATGCAGCAAAGTAAATTGTGAAAATATAGGCTGTTAGTCCTTTAAAATATGACCCTCCAAGTGAGTTCCAAAATGTCTCCTTAAACAGTGTCTTTCCAAAGTTTCCCTCCTCACTCATCACAGGAAAAATGCGGCATATATGTTAAGTTAAAAATTGGCTTACTTGCAAAGCCTTCAAAGGTCATGTTCATGTGCTTCAGAAAAATTGCAGAGGCGGTAGAACTTAGTTTAGTTACAAAGTGGTAAAGGTTCCTAGATTATTGGTATATGAACTCAAAAGTGGCTGGTGAGAGCCGTACAGAAGAGCTGGAGCAATCAGCCCCAAGCTCCTGAGCTTCTCAGGTAGACAGATCTGATTACCTATTTCCTCCCAAGATAAGGGGAAGTAACATAGCTAGGCCTGGCAGGACAGCTTACTTTATGGTTTTAACCCCTTCATGCATTAATTAGATTTAAGCATGTTGGCTACACAAGACTGGTTATCCCACAGAGGGGACTATCGTGAAGGGACCCTGTACTTCTGAATTTGCCACTATACACTGCTGCTTGCACCTGAGTAGACATAAAAATGCACATTGTGTCTCCACTCACAGGTGCTATTCATCCCATCAGGCACTGCAACACAGTTTCCCTTACTTGTTGGCCATTGTCTGGGAAATTTTCTGATCATTATAAGAAAGTGATATCCAAACTTTCCCATCATTCACCACTAGAGGGTGGTGTTGACATATGTTTGCCCCTCTACATTGTACCATAGAAGATTGCACTGTGAAACAGTATTAACCATGTCTGCTCAGAAATAAGTCCTATTGAATTTGACGGGGCTTCCAGGTGAGTGGAGCTGGGATTGTAGGCTTAATTTGCTAACTAGCTATCACAATCGTAGATCCCACTTTTCCACCAAGATGCTGATGGCACTGTACCTGCCACCATCCCGTTTTTATTCTCACAGTTAACCCTGAGAGGTATGCCAGACAGCAAAAAACGTGTTTATTAATCAAAACTACATGCAAAACATGTTTACTGAGAAAGGATAATACTAAAATGCAATTTTTAATAAATATTTTTAAAAGAAAACCCACCTCCTGCACTTCCCTGGCGGTAAAAATAGAATTTTAGGCATTTTTCTGTCTCGAGAGACAATGGAGTTTGCTTTCAGGGGTGAAGTCAAAGCACTGTGTTAGCAGCACCAAAGTGAACTCCCCGGAGTGCAAGCCTGGGCAGTGTGAATGGGGGTCCTGGGCTGCCCAGAAGTCACCCCACCCCCTTAGCATCCCTGATACGGACCAAAGGAAAGCAGAGCAAGACGTTTGGCCCCAGCTTGGCTGAAGGAGTTGCCGGAAGGAGGCGTACAAGGCACCATCCAACTGTCTTAGGAACCCCACTCAGGATTTGTGTAGCATTTACTCAGCCTTTTCTTCTCCCGAAGATGTCCCACAAGGCAGAGGGTACAGATTTTTCCTTGGGTTTACTCCCAAAGCCTTTCTCACAAATGAGTTTAGCCTCAAGGCCATTGACGTTTAGCACCAGAGTTTTCCTTCTAGATGGGTTTCCTTCCCAGGTGGACAAGCCCCATCTGCCCCTCACTTCCCTCTACAGCACGTGCAGAAACCACCTTCTGGACCACTGGACCTGCTATTGGTCTTGTCTACTCAATCGACCACAGCCTGTCTTTGCATGCAGGGGTAGTCCCTAACTCACTGAGGGTTTGAGACCCATTGGTTCCCGTCACCTGGCTTAGCCAGCCAGTCAAAGCCTAAATAGGTACCGCTCCGGCGGGAAGGTAAACGGCGTTTCTGTGCGCTGCTCTGGTTTGCCAGAAGCGGCTTAGTCATGCTGGCCACATGACCCGGAAGCTGTATGCTGGCTCCCTCAGCCAATAAAGCGAGATGAGCGCTGCAACCCCAGAGGCGGTCATGACTGGACCTAATGGTCAGGGGTCCCTTTACCTTTACCTTTATGGAGTCTCAAAGCGGCTAACAATCTCCTTTTCCCTCCCTCCCCCACAACAAAGACTCTGAGAGGTGAGTGGGGCTGAGAGACTTCAGAGAAGTGTGACTAGCCCAAGGTCACCCAGCAGCTGCATGTGGAGGAGTGGGGAATCGAACCTGGTTCACCGGATTACAAGTCAACTGCTCTTAACCGCTACACCACACTGGCTTTCGCAGGACTCTCCTTGGAAGTGCCCTGTAATTTGAATTTTACCACTGCTCCACAAAGGTTTTAACTATAGCAAATAGCCACATGCCACCACCCACCTGATTTGTGTCAAGACCTGTGACTGGATGCCACCACCCACCCAGTTTACAACGAGGCCTGTGATTGGTGCTCCTGACCCATCTCCAACTCCTCCGCTTTCAGCCCTGCCCTATCGGTGGATGTGGACAAAGGCTTCTGTACTGCCCGGATTCCAGCTTTCTATCCCCCCCCCTTGCTGTCGTAAAGGAAGTGTGGGATACAACAATATGCATTGTTGCTCTAACACAAGTCGTTTGTTGTCATTGTTGCAGCGGGGACGGGACGCGATTGGGTGGGACCAGGGGTGGAGACCATTGCTATTGTTCCCCCTTTACAATGGGGCCATTGGTCACCGGAGGCCATGGAAGTCTTGGCAGAGGGGGGGCCTCCACCCACAGCGGGCGAAGCAGAAGCCACCAGATGGTGCGACTGAAGAGCAACTCTTTCTTGTTCTCCAGGAGGGAGGGCTCTTGAGAGACTACGCTAGCAGGGAACAGGGTGCTGCCCTGGACCGCTTGGACGCAGAGGCGTTCTGGGAGGAACCAGCTGGAGAACCATACAAGGAAGAAGGCTCAGATCCTGGGGAGTGGTGGTGGGACGACCCTGGGTGGTCAGAGGCAGAAGAGGGAGAACACTGGGAAGAGGTGTTG